TGATTGTTGGCGTCTTGAGTTTGTTGAAGTTCTCCCGGTTGACCTTGTTAACCTCATGCTTCATGCAGAGCAGTTGGGCTGCCCCGCCGACCTTGCAGGGATGGTCTATGAGGGTCTTGGTCTCGTCTCGTGAAAAGGGAATGCCGAGTCGGCATTTTTGCAGCATTTGGATAAAGGCCTGATCCTTCTGGCGATGGATCTCTCGGAGGTGGACATGCTCAAAATTGGCCTTCTTCCAGGCCATGCTCTTGAATGCCCATTTGTCCCTCTCTTCGAATGGGCCGTGGCAGTCGTCGCAATTGAACTCGGACTCGTCGTCGTTAGCGAGCATCTCTCCTCCGCACAAGTAGCAAAACTGGAACGGCTTCACTGGCGGCAGCTGGCAAAAGTCTCCGGTCACGATCAACTGCAGGCCTCCAAATGGAGGCGGGTCTCTCTCCATCCTGTTCTCGTAGTAATTCCAACATCTAACAGCCGTGATGCAGTGGTTCATGCGCTCGAGGTAGTGGTTCTCAACCATGCTGATCTCGTCAATGATGAGCACGTCCGTGTCCCTGATGCGCTTCCTGATGTGCTTGCGGAAGCCCTGTTTGATGAGACTGTCGAGGTCGTATTTGAGGTGATTGGGCGTCCAGCCCATGTACGACCAAGTCGACATGCCGTTGACCTGCAGGGCGGCTTTTCCGGTGGGGGCGACGATGTTGACGATCTTGCCCATGTCTTCCAGCTTCTTAACAACGGCCTTGAGGACAGTGGATTTGCCGCAGCCGGCAGAGCCGGTGTAGAAGACATTACGACCGCGCAGGATCAAGTCGACGACATCTTGCTGCTCCTTGCACAGCGTTGGTTCGGTATCCGCCTTGTCCATGGCGTTTGCCGAAATTCCTTGGATGCGAGGTTTTGCTTGAGATGGCGGCTCATCTTCTTCGTCATCGCTTACAGATGAGATTGGCAAGAAGCCATCATCATCGTGCTCAACCCGATCACGCAAGGCTTGACGTCGAGCAATAGCTTTAGGAGTCGGCTCCTTGTCTGAGTCTGAGTCGGATGAGATGTCGATGATCGCCCCGGGTGGCGGACGAGACGGCGTCATGCTGGCTGGTCGCTTTCTCTTGGTGCCAGCCACACTTGGGCGGGGGGAGGGAGTCGCGGGTGGGATGGGCGCTTGTGGTGAGAAGTGAAGTTCATCCTTGGCGAAAGGCAGTGAGGGGATACTGGGGCTGGGAGTTGGCTGTGCCATGGCCACTGGAGGCAATGGTATAGTAGCGAGAGGGTGAGATAATACAAGCACGGCCCCGCCAATGGCAAGTGGAGTTGGTGTTGGTGCTTGGCCGTCAATTGATTGAATCGAGATGGTTGGACGACAGATGAGGTCATTGCAGCGCGATCGGAGACGCGATAGTGGATAAGTGGAGGCCGTTTCATCACGTGACTCACTCTCTATTTCATCATTGCGTGCTAGGCGATATGAGGAGTAACTGTCTTGATGGAAACACCTTTGATAAATTAGACTCCAGCGTATAGATATTTCCAAAATTTTCTCTTTTTTTTTCCTTCAAAGAACGATATTTGAGGTCATGGTTTTTCATGTACGTGCATCGGAGTGATCCAGTCTTTGCATGTGACAGTGGCCCCATTGTCCCGACAACCTACCCTAAACTCACGCATTAGAAGCAGAGGTCCAATCTCCTACAGTCTTCCGCACCTAGAAGTCGGCGTCATTTTGGCGAGCGCATCAGCTCATCACGTATTGGGGCACCTAAAAGACGAGCTTGAATTGGTTCATGGCAATAGGTTTTTTGATTCCAAGTTGTCGCATAGACAGCAAATCACAATGACAAAATTTCCCCATCGCCCCCCTCTCCATGGAAAGGCACGAGGCACCCATGGCTCGTCATATCACACTATGAACAATATCTTGTCTCAGCATCACATCTCTAAGCTGACCCGGGCAGATGATTGACCTCTAATGACAAGAAAGCCGGTTATTGAAGCTCATCATGACATCGGCATAACTGGGCGTGTTCCTCTTGCAATTCATCTCTTTGACTGCGCGAAGACTCTCCCAAGGCACTAGTCTCCACTGATAGGTCACTATCTAAGTTGCTCGCTAGCTTGGTGATGGCATGTTAATCCTGTATCTCGATTTAAGGAAGGGTAGGGAGATGTTAATCATAATTGGCTCACATCCCCGCAAGATACCCGATGGGAGCCTTCGCGCAGTCAAAGAGATAGTTAATATCCGCGGTACTGATGTCCGCTTGTCGCCAAACGAGTAGATAGATCCTTCATGCAATGATTAGACTCACCAACCGTTACTTAAACGAAACTCCTCAGCACCTAACTTGTCCGTTTCGTTAGGGCATATGGCGTTTATCGTGGCGCAAAAGTACACGCTGCTGAGTAAACGCTCAGGCCTGCTAGAGGATCTGAACAACGATCTGACAACTCGCTGAAGAAGTCGGGAGGTAACAGGGGCGGTAGGGCGGGTATAAGAATCGGGTTAGGACGCCCACAGGCGTAAGACATGAAAGTCGCTGAGCCACCACCCATGCCAGCTATGTTTCAGCTCTCGTGGTTTCTGGTTTGTTTTCTATCGACCTAGGTAATACATCGCATGAGAATAGTGAGGGATTTGCATGATGAGCTTAAAGTCCATTGGTCCGACTTGCATGGCAGCCCAGCCGTGTCTCAGAACCTAAACCAGTTTGAGCGAGCCATGTCCTCGCCTCGGGTGGGTAGCCAGCTACGAAAATCGAGAATGACACTTGAAATTGAAGTATCCTCATTGTTGCCTGACCCTTCTCACCCTCTGTCTACTCACTCACGTCTTGTCGGGTGTTGCTCTGGAATGTTGGTCCAGCGGGATTGACCTGTTCTAGTGGCAACCGCAGCCCAGCGGCAATGCCTCGATTAGTAGTGGGTGACACATTGTGTACATGATACCCGAACAATGCATGTATCTGCTCTTCCAAAGGCTCTTCAAGTTGCTCTTGACGTCGAGATAACGGCAGAGAAAATAAAAGGGCTATGGATGAACACCCTAGCTGCATGAGCTTTCGCCAGCGGAAGACTACATCTCGTGCCCAAGTGCCCTTAAAATAGGCGCCATTGTGGATAAGTATCGAAGTGACCATTAGGGAACGAGTTCCAAGGTCATGCAGCATGCTTGAGGCCATCCTTGTGGCCCTTGCTAATTGGTCTAAAATTCCGAGGCATACCGTGGCGTAGCTGAAATTCCACATTCGATCAAGAGGACTTTTCTCGCCTTTTCTTCGACCTGGCTTGAACTATTTCCCTATTTGTCAAGCATTTATAAGGCTGTTCATCGCGGAAACAACGTTGAACGCGTCTCCTTTTATAATACAACAGACTCTCCCCTTTTCCAACCTAAATACACCCTTATTGACAATGGCTCGAAAGTTGCTCACCGACTTTGTCGAAAACTACGACCAAAGCTTCTACACGCAAGTAGCCGAGATTGCTGAAGAGCGTTGCCGCAAAGTTCTCACCGAAGGTGGTATCCCCGCCATCATCACCTCCCGCGCCAAGCGTCCTGACCGGCTCCTCGAAAAGCTCAAGGGTCGCGACAAAGAGAAGAACTATCAGACGCAAGAAGACATCAAGAAAGATCTCGTTGATCTGGCTGGTGTCCGTATCGCCCTGTACTTTCCTAGCCAGCGGCAGGAGGTCGAGCTATTGATGCTCAAGGTGTTCGCGAATGTCGATGTCAAGAGATTGGCTGGGCATACCTGTGACTCGACTTTGACGGAGGAGGACGGCAAGTACCGGAATGAGTTTGCGGGATACAGAGCGACCCATCTCCGCCTCGAACTCGGGACTGACCGACTGCCCGAAGACCAGTTGAAGTACGCCGGGTCCAAGATCGAGATCCAAGTTGCCTCGCTGCTCATGCATGCTTGGTCCGAAGTGGAGCACGATCTCGCATACAAGACCCTCAACGGCGCTCTCTCTGTTGAAGAAGTCCGTATGCTGGACGGTATCAACGGGCTGATGAGAACTGGCGAGGTCATGCTCGGCCAGCTCAAGGCGTCCATGGAGACACGCATTGCGAACCAGACAAGGCCGTTTGGAACCCATTTCGAGGTCGGCACTTTCTTGCAGCAGTATGCTCCTCACGACCCTGCCAACGAAGATTACCGCGTCGGGTCGCTGTCATGGTTGCTCTACGTGTTGCAGCAGCTCCAGATGGACAATCCTCGTGCTCTTGGGGTGGTTCTTGAGAGCTGGAAGAGTGATCCGACGAACCTGACCAAGTACCCTCTTGTGCATTCTGTTGTCGGTTACCTTTTCGAGACCAATGAACAAGTCGAGGATCCTTTCTCGTCTCCTTACTCTCTCCAATCCCTGAATGAAGGGTTCAAGGGCACAGAGACGAAGAAGTTGTCGGTCTTGTGTCGCATTCTGGCGTATGCCTGTGAGCCCGACACACTTGGCAACGTGTCACTTCAAGGACGCGATGATCAGCTTCGGAAGGTGGGTGTTCTGACTTCTGGGGAAGAGCCAAACGTTCCCGAGAACGACGTGAAGCAGGTCAGAGAAGCTGTGCTGGATCTGTGGAATTGGTTTGCGACGAATGAGTCCAAGGAAGCCCGACTGGCACTAGGCATTGGTCGTTCGAGGGGAGGCAAGCGTGCTTGGAGGAAATGAGCTAGTACAGCCAGTGAGCTTGTACTTGAAGAGTTGCCCAAAGAAGGTGGGAAGTATCAGGCCACTAAGTTAAAGAACGAGAATGTTGAGCTTCGCATTCTAATTTCGCACTTGCATGGTCGCGTGGCCAATCGACCTCTGCTCTAGCCACTTGTAAGCTGAGAATACTAGACTGGCGGTGACATGTTGATCATCCTATGTTTACAGCTGTTTCTCCGGTTCAAGTGGGGACCCTGATGAGAACCGGCATATGTTTGAGGTTATTTCTCCGCAGACTACTCCATAATGGTGCGGGGATGTTGGATGCATGAACTCAGAAACAGGGATGGATGGATGAGGGGATTAACTTCTCGGTCGATCGTCACCCGAGACTGAATGAATGCCGAGGCTCCGCTGCATCAGTACGACCGGACCTACTCGTCTATAAGGCCGACGAGCCCGCTGGTCCTAGGCCCTGACGGAGCAAGACCAGGCGCTTCAACAGAGTCGCAAATAATCTCTACGACATGCGTGTCACAGCTTTGGCGCCGCTGGGCTTAGCTGCCTTGGCCTCAGCGGCCCCTTCGGCCCTCAATTCTATGTCCCGAAACGCCCGGTCCCTCTTTACCGAAAGTATGAATTGGATGGATGACTATTATGACCCTGAAACTGGATACCTCTTCGACTTCAGTGCAACGACAGCACTCAATCATGATACTCGAAGCTCTGTCTGGTATGCATTGGGCTTGCTAGCACGGAACAAGGGCGACGATGGTACAGAGGCTGAAAAGATCATCACGAACGTGATTCATGCGCAATACGAGGAACCTAAGGATGAATGGTAATTGTAGAAAGCTCTCGAAGGAGGTAGACCGCTGATAGAAAGTGAACAGGTACGCGACGTACCAGAAGGAGCCCGAGGAGCCCTACGTCGGCAGCCCACACTACCCAGCCAAGATCTACAATTCTTGGGATCCCAACTGGCGTGGCTTTGTTGGCACAACGTTGATCATGGCTATGGAGGAGTACTCTGCCATTATCAGCAAGTCAACTCAGAAGCTGATCCTGCAGTCGCTCTATAATACTACCAAGGGTGATGAATACCGCTTTGGAAACACCGATAACACCAAGGATAATCTGTACCCTGCGTACAGTAACCCGGTGAGTGGGAGAATGGTCAAGGGAAGAAGGATGCTGATGCCTCCCAGTCAATCATGCGTGCTTTTGTATCAGGCTGGACCGGACGTCGTCTCCACGAACAGAACATGACAATCAGCGGAGAAAAATACGCAAAAGACATCATCAACCTTTTCAACCGCGCCAACACACTCTCTGAGTTCAACTCGGGCACATACACGGGCGTTTCGCTGTTCGGTCTTCTTCTCTGGAGCAAGTACCTGCCCGAGGACTCCGTAATGACTAAAGAAGCACCTTCTATGATCCAGCATACCTGGGAGGCTATCGGACAGCTTTGGCACCCTGGCATGAAGAACATCGCTGGGCCGTGGGATAGGTCATACGGGTATGATATGAACCGCTACCTTAGCCTTATGGCGCTCTGGTTCTGGACTTTGATTGGAAAGGAGAACTCGTCCCTCATTAGCAAGGCAAGTCCTGGATTCATGAGCCCATGACTCTGTACTGACCATATCCAGCCCCAAATCATGTCTCACATGGGCGACTACGCCTGGGGTCCTCTGTTCGCCATCCTCGCAGATCACCATAAGCGCTTGATCCCTAACAAGGTTCTGTCGGGCCTAAGTAGCTTCTCCGGCGAGCATACCTTCCAGGCCAGCGCGTACTACCCTCCCTTTGACAAGGTTCCCCGCAATATCACGACGTGGCTCTCTGACAAGCTCACCATCGGCGCTGAGTCGTTTGATGAGATTGCTATCGGCGGCCCTTCTCAAAACCAAGAGGCATTCAATCCCGCCGTGGTCCAGTGGGATACTGGTGGCGAAATATCATTCATCTCAGTAAGTGCCATTCCAAAGCACCCCCCGTTCACTTGTTAACGTCCTCTCAAGCTCTACCCAACAGAGACTGCTCTACAGACAAAGGTTGGGCCTGGTCAGCTCACCCTATCCTATCCGAATGGTCACTCTGGCTCGATATTTTCTCTTCTCGTAGGCACATTTAAGAGTAAGCGTACAATCTCTGGATGGGAAGACGTTGTAGGCCTCAAGGTCGTTGTCTCTGGAAATGTGAACATGACGCATGACCTATCTTTTGGTGGACACTATGGCGGGTCTGATTCACCGATCCGAGATTTTGAGTTTTGGAACTTTACGTATAGTATGCCTACTGGATTTGTCGGAACACCCACCCTGACAGTTGATTTGGAGATATCATAAGTTTGGTTTATAGTCCGCGGGAGACTGGGGCCAAACGAGCATGCTACTGTATCTCTAATTCCCGTATTGATTGGTAGATTAAGCTGAGACCGTCAGTCACAACAGCAAAAGATACAGTTACAAAACGTAATACTGTAATTGGAATGGGATTAGTAGTTGTATCTTTGTATCAGATGGTGGCCTATTTGTAAGTCAGCGATATGCCCACCAAGACCATGGAAGATAGAAGACTACTCCATAGGGGTAGGCTTGTCAGCGAGAGAGGACCCTCGGCTAGAGACCCGGTTACAGGGTATATTAGACAATTTAACTATGCCAAAAAAGTAGGGCGCGCCACTTAGACAGTTGCAGTTACTCCTCTCATCCAACCAAACGCACCACTGATGGGTGCTGTCACCGAGCGGCTGGCTCTCGATGTTGGGCTTCCATTGAAGCTTGGTAGGTGCTCCTTAGAGACTTCCAGTGGCTCTAAAGCTAAACTGGGCAGTTATGGCCACTGGAACATCTTCTCGCGTTCCTGAGACCATTGGTTAAGCCGTGGCTCGTTGCAATTCTTTGACGTACTGGCCATTGCATCAGGTCCAAGGGCCACAATCTTCATCAACATCTTCATCCATACCACCGATTAGAACAGAAGAAGGCAACCACCTGACGGTTCCGGGGTATTCATTTCTGGAAGTACTCTTGTGGTATGGGCCCCGCAATTCTGTGAGACGTGCCTAGGCCTAAAGGATGTTCGGAATGTCAATCAGCCCCTGATCTAGCCAAGCCATTGATGTGTTGTGTCACACGTGAAGTTGCTTTGACCATGGCCCTTGCCCAGCCATCCGTCCTATATTACCCCTGTGGAATGGTAGGAGTACCTTTGCTGGTCAGGCATATGAGCCCCTATTCTCACTATATAGTCTCCACCACATGCCTATTGTACACAAATTCTTCAACACGGACCTTTATCTACAGTTGATAAACTTTGGTGGCATTACGCTTGCAATCATAAGTAGGCTTCTGGAATGTCGCCTCATACCGGCGACCATAGCCAGAGCCGCTGTCTGTGTCACCAACTTGGCCTGCTTGTGTGCTTGTTTCTTCCCGCGCACCGCGCCATGCCTGTGAAGTGTGTTACGGGGTGCAGATCTTTGGCGCTACCAGCAGCGGAACTGAGAGAAGCAGACGGATCGGGTCCCTCCACTAAAGTCTCAGTTGCAGCTGGCCGGGCATTTGAGGGAGCGCCATGTTCAAGCCCCCAGTGCCAAGGGAGTTTCTGGCCTGATGTGGATGGTGAGACAAGAAAGATTGCCTTCCTACCAAGGCTTTGGTTTCTTGCGTACTTCAAAATCTGTTTTCTTTCCCGTCCATTTGAATGGTGCTGTGTTGCAGGTTGACAGCCCAAGTGTCGGGAATACCCTCATCTACGCCATGTTGGATCAACAGGTCTCTCGCACACTAGTTTTTGCTGTAGTATTCAATGTGCATCTCTCGACGGCTCAAACTCCCACCTCCAGCCTAGATTCCGTTGAAGAGGCACCGGCCTGCGCTGTTAGCGCTGGTTTCCCACCGTTCTTATCCATCGTTCTAACAAACAGGCAGACAGAATGCTTAATCCAGACGATGAACCAAACTATCCATTTTCAACAAGAGGTACAACTGTGTCAACACCAAAAGCTGCGTCGTGCAGTTGAAATTTGTGTGACATACGATTGCAATGTCACCGAGGTTTTCAGTAAGGTCCTAAGAATCAGACACGGGTGGGTTTCTTTGTTTTGATACTAGATTCCAAACCACTTGTTAGGCTACAAGAAAATTACCCAAACAGCGTGTGGATTTTCAGTGACAGATCGCCGTCGTGAAATCAGGATGACCTGCATGATCATGGGCATATCAGCCGCAATCCTCTTTGCCATGCGGATTGTCTCCAAGGCCGCTGGGCACATTCCATGGGGACATGACGACAGCCTGATTTTGGCAGTGTTTGTACGTCGCCCAGACTTACTTGTACCGGCCGCCGACTGACCCAATTCAGCTTGTTGTTGTTGTTGCATTCAACGTCTTTTGCCAAATACGTAGGTTATCCTTCCCACGGCCCCTGATTTCGGGACGATTTGCTAAGAGGGGGCCGTGCCGTTGCAGTGCCTTCCAAAGGTCTAGGCCTCGACATCTGGACTGTGCGTGATGAAGACATTACAACTTTCCTAATAGTTAGTTCTCTATACGATATTTTTGCTTCTTCTCTGTGCTAACTGACATAATTACAGTACTTATTTTCCTGTGAGTTCGCATACGCGATATCCCTGGGGTTGATCAAGTTATCAATTCTCCTCTTTTTTCTCCGGATCTTTCCCAGCCACAAGTTTCAAGCAGTGGTCCGATGGACCATGGGACTCACTGTCCTTCTATGCCTGATCTACTTGATTCTTTTCCTCATCCAACGAATGCCCCTTTGGCTGTTTTGGGAGGGCTGGAAGGACAAGACTCCCCGCGGTGTAATCGTCGATGGCAATGCCATGGGAATCTCTCACGGGACACTGAACGTCGCATTGGACATCTGGATGCTTATCCTCCCTTTGAGCCAACGCTTAAAATCGGGGGTCAAATTCAATAAAAAGGTTGGCGTTGTTGCCATGTTTAGCGTTAGTTTATTGTAAAAAGTATAAGCTCTTTCCACGGTGTGATGGAAAACTAATACTACGTCTAGTCTCACCACAGTCAGTACGATTCGGATTCCAAGTCTCTTGGTCTTTTCAGCATCGTGGAACGTGACCGGTATGCAATTGGTTTGGCTTTGGCTCGCACATAGGCGTGGCAGATTGCTAACGCTTTTTTATGTAGCCGACTCTGTAGGAATCGTCATATGGTCAAATGTTGAGGTTTGCGTGGGTATGATGGTGGCATGTATGCCGCACGCGCGACAACTCGTCCGCGATACTATATTACAGCATGGGCATAGCCGCCTAGCAAATAGCTCTAGCACTGAAGGGATATTCATAGATCGGTCCCTGAGGACCACCTAGTAAACTGGGACTAATAGTAATGTAACTATCAAGTTGAGTAATGGTTAGAGTAGCGGCGTGGCTTCATCCGGGTTGACCGCTACAGCATCACCTAGCCTTAGTTGGTAGTTACACGGTTAATAAGTAACCTTACACCTCTACGTTGTTTCTTTTCAATCATTCAGCTCCTAGATTGTAACCTAGGTTGTCTGATTCCCATGACCCTATGCTCGAAAACCGTCGCGTCTAAGAGCTAGCCGACCACTCCCGACACAATTTCCACACAAGTTGGATCATTCCCCTCACACAGCATGCCTACTACGTATCGAAACCCAGCTAGATGTCCCGCCTGGATGTAGATACTGCCAAGTCCATCAACCGTTGACACACGTTAACCGCGGTGGAGCTTGAGTGGCTGCGTCTCTTCTTGCAGCCCAACTCGACTTCTGATTTGTCCCTCTGGGCTTTCCCGGACGAACCCATACCTGATCCGTAGGTCCCCCATCTTCCTCAAAACGTCAGCTCCCTCCATTCTACCCACCTCTTGCGGTGTGTCGATGTACCTCGAGTCGCGGATGAGTGTGGAGGCGTAGCCTAGAATGTCTGGTCTAGCTGAGAGCCGCGTCAGGATCGCGCTCAGAACCCCATAGATTAGGAGAATCAGACACGACAGAAGGCAAAACCCAATCCACAGTCGTGGAACCGAAAAGGTCTCGATCAAGGTACTGACTTGGGCCGGAGCGACCACGTTCCAATCTGTCGTACCAGCAGACTCGGCGCTGACGCCCGTTGCTTGAAGGAACATTTGACTCAGGAGGATGTACGTGTTGATTACTTGGCTGAGTCGTCGGCTGAAGAGGTCGGCATCAACGTGCTCGAACATGCGCTGTTGCTGAATCATGGTGAAATTTCCAATGCCCGGATTGTCCAGGTACTGCAAAATAAACCCCGGGTGAGCAGAGTTTTGCGGTGCCGTCGTCAACGGTATTTCTCTTGAAATATACCGGAAAACCCAAGGGATGGACAAATGCGATATCGAGTCAGGGGGATGAGACCGTTGTGACGCTCGCTGGGCGGTGACAGAGCAATTCTGCTGTCCCCCCATATCTGACGGCCGGCAGGTGACTCGGGATTCAACGTATCTCTGGTGAACATCACAATAGGCCGTGAGTCCGGCCGAGGACAAAGCTTCAGAAGCACCGAGCTTAGCCTGGAAGTAAAGCCTCGACAGTCCCGCATCTATCCCAGTTTCATTCTTGAATAGGGCTGGTCTGCAGTACATGTTCTGCTTAGATCTATGCGAGTGAACACCAAAGCCGCTCCAGAAGTCATCGACGAACCTATCCAATGCTATGGCCCAAGGCGCAGAAGATCGGTCTAGAGTGCTGGACGTATTGAAACCGTACCAGGTCCCATTTTGAAGTGGAAACGAGTTCCAGTTTTGCCAATCGAAGGTGACATCCTGTGTAAAGGTCGCACTTTTGCTGATGTTGCTGCAGCTAAGATCCACGTAACTTGATTCGAGATGAAACGTCTTATTGCCCACCGAGATACCTGTTATTGGTATCCCGACGAATGCAGAATAATGTTCTAACTCGGCGATCCAGGAGTTACTCGTCTAGTCGTCACTAGCTGAATTCAAGATGGGGACTTTGAAATTTCCCCAGATATCCATCGAATCGAGCTTGGTGGTTGATGGCGAAAGCAACACGGCACCGAACATAGTCCTCACATAAGATACCATAGCAGCCAAACCCGCTGAGCCGTCACGAGTGGATGGCATCATGCATGATTGTTGGGTTGGAGCATCAGTATCAAAGTGTATGACAGTTGAGTCCTGGACCCGTGGCTCAAGGCGTGATTCAAGCATTCGTAACATGGACTGCGCACCAAGCGGTGAGAGGGTCCAGACTAAGACCAACACGATGCTGAGGGTTATCGAGGCCCGATGGTGTCGTAGTGTGACAATGGTAGATCCAAAGGTCCGACTGCCGATCAGTTGCTCGAGCGAGCCAAGCGTAGCTCCTTTTTCAGGCCTCCATCGAGCCCTCTCATAGACGAGACGGCCGACTGTCAAGGCAAAGATGATGGGAAACGCCGTCGCCAACTATGCTTCAGTGATCAGTATGTAAGCAGTGAATGACCATGCCCGCAAACATTTACCGCTGTGATTGCATTTTGCCATCTTTGAAGAGCGAGGCTCTCAATGGGTTTCTCATCCAGAAGCAGCACCCAGATTGCGACGATAAGGAAAGCAGTCGGCAAGGCAATGGCAGCAAGGTCGGCGAGGCAAACACTCCAACCGACGGTCTCTTTCATAAACGACCATTGATTCAGGCTATAACCTTGTCCAAAGGTATGCGGCTCAGCATTCTTCGGTTGGCCTGTGGGCGAAGTGCTGAGGCCATCTCTGTCCGTTTCGGGGGGGTGAAGATGCAGCTGAAAGGGCATGGTAGTGGACTGGAGGCCCAGGCGGTGACTGTTCTGAGTATGCCATGTCTCGGGAGGTGCGATTCCTTCTGGTCGCTGATACTTGGTTGCAGCAAAGTGAGCGGTGGGTGGATAAGGATCCGACGACAACATTACCACGTTAAATAACGCAAAGACAAGAGTTTCATCCTTTGCCTCTCCCCTGCAGATATATGACTCCACTGTTCTTGACGTTGATGTACATTTAGGAAATTCTTTGTACGACATCATCAGTGCCCCTATCTTTAAGTTTCACCGGGAGGTGCAGAATGCCTCAAATCAAGTCGCGGGCGTGACAAATTATCGTTGATTTTGAACCATCGTTGTAGGTTAGGGAGAAGTAACCGAAATTTTGATGAGCGTGAAGAATAACACGCGCATTTTTGGACACCCTTCCTTTGCATCGCCTGAAGCCAGAGACGCAAGGCAGCGAGTTGGAGATATTCTTGATGGTGATTAGAATGCCTCCAATGAAAGGGTACTGAACGCAAGATGTCTTCGGCCGGTGTTTCTGTACGCCACTGAAAGTTTGACAAGGAGCAAACGTGATGGGTGGCGAATGGTCTAAAACAGATTGAGATCCTGATAAGTAGAAGCAGTTTTATCTCATCCTTCGTTGAGTCGCATGGCGAAGTGGAGATAATGCAGGGGAGGAGTGTTGCGATGAAAGCGGTTTACTACCAGAGGTTTGGAGTGCCGCTCCCGTATTTTTCGGTATCGGTGATCACAATAAGTTCATCATCTATAACTAATCTTCAGTAATGTATACTTATCAAGGGTTCCGGAGCTTATATCCAAGAATCGTAAAGCCGAAACACCGGATAAGGAACCAACGCCAGTGCTGCCAAGCTCCTACATCTACAACACCTGCCCTTCAAATATCAACTGCACAACATTGAGCTCCTGGACAAGGATTTGCCCCGGTCAAATCTCGTCTGATTTTGGGTACGTGGCGTGAGTGTTGGTTCGACGTTCTGACAACCCTAACCGAGCTACGTGCGATTGGGTCACATGCACCTGTGGCCAGGGATGTTCCCCTCATTAACTTTCCACCGCTTGTGAGAATAATCAAGTCATTCAAGTTCCCAAAACTCTCGATTGTTTACTTCTGAGAGCAGGAAATCATGCCAAACCAACCTGCAGAGTCCGGTACGCCACCTGGTGGCGCGCCCGTAACCTCATCTTCCGGAAATGAACCCATCCGTCCAAGCGACTCAGAAGTGCGTCCTGTCTGCTCGAAATTACCTCAAACGCCGGCTGATATCTTCGTAGAGTGACTCTTCCAATGGTGGTGACTCTTCTATGGGCCAAGATGCGTTCGTGATGCTCAGCAGCGAACGTTGGCACCTTGCTAATATAGTATCGCAGTCTGAGCAGTACGGCTTCCGTCTCTTCCAGTATCCTCGAGTATCGTCGGCTTCAGGGGCGCACTTACCATAGCGAGAAGTTCGAGCTGAATTATTTCCTTCCCAACGATGACCCCTTACTGGAGTCTCTAGACTTGACGTACGACTTGTGACGCGCCAAAGCTCAATGAGAAGTCAGCTGCTAATCACCCCTAGTCATCATTACCTGACAATTCTCTTGGATGAAAAATTGTTCCTCGCCCCTGTGAAGGAGGAAAACATGCAGGTGGGCGTTCATAGTGAGCGATAAACCTTTGAGTTGCTATTCACACGACGTTGTGCAGCGAGTCCTTGACGTTGGTACTGGAACTGGTAAGTTGCCGGATCATGTACATTGGAGAGGATCACGACTGACGAGTTGCCAAGGTATCTGGGCCATGTACGAGGGTAGAGAACTCTGGATTTGCAGTTCGCCTGCTGATATGTTATAGCGAGTTCGCGGATCGGTACCCTGGTGCCGAGGTTATAGGCACCGATCTCTCTCCATGCCAACCTCAGTGGATCCCCCCCAATGCCCGCTTTGAGATCGACGATGCGACCTTGATATGGACCTGGGACCAAGATCAGTTTAACTTTATACATATACGCTACCTATTTGGCGCCGTCAAGGATTGGGGTGGTCTATTCAAGGAGGCCTACCGCTGTTGCGCCCTAGGGGGCTGGGTGCAGTCGACCGAGGCCAATGTCGAGTTCCGCAGTGATGATGGAACTGTCGACAAGGAGCCTAGTCTTCAGATGTTTACTAAGCTTTTTCAAGAGGGCGGCAAAGCTTTGGGCCGCCCCTTTTTTGTTGATGATCTGCAGGAAACGGAATTCAGAAAGGCGGGCTTTGTAGATGTCCAAGTCATCGATCACAAGGTACGTAATTCAACGCCCGCAGATAAATCAAGGAACTAACGAATGTTACAATTTTTAGCTTCCGGTTGGTGGCTGGCCCAAAGATCCCAAGCTGGCCCAGGTTGGTCAGTTTGTCAGAGCCGCCTTGGAAAATGACCTCGAGGGTAAGAAAGAGGGCTCCCCTATCATATTGAAGTTGTGACGTCTTACGTATCCTTTGTTCTAGGGTTGACTCTCATGATGTGGCACGATTTGTTACAGTGGCCTAAGGATGAGTACCAGTTGTTTCTGATGGGCTTGCGAAAGGGGTTGCAAAACTCAAAGGTCCATAGCTACATGACTGTACGCTATGTTTATGGACGCAAGCCCGAGTAACTAAGGAACACAAAGGTTTAGCAGACACCTCTTTGACCGGTTGGGTCTGCTGACCTGGAACGACCTCCACTGTTTGAAGCTGTGTCGGAAAATCAAGGAATTTTGGGAATCAATTCACGATTTCGATACTGGATTTTGCCTTATCATTGGGAACTTTATTCTAGCCACTTTTAATAGTGATCGAAGTAAAGAGATTAGGGTGAACCTTCGGGGACCTGGTACGGCGATTAGCAATCCTTCTTCACGATTCAGCTCTGGGCTCCGTATTCTTTGCCGCCGAAGAGCAACATGAGGTGCCCCTAGGCCTCGATAGATGATCATCAATGCTGCAATACTCGGATCGCGCTAGCTAACATCCTACTGGCTATGAGCAATAGGGTATCTTGGAGTGGTGGGGATCAATTCTCGCAGCCGTGGGCATAAGTTGTTCTTCACAAAGGCTACCTACAAAAGATGAAAACTTAGACATGAAACCGGATATGTTAAGTCATAAATTTGCCGATACAACACCTCCAGCGACGCTAGAGAAAGATGCAAGGGTGCAGCCGACGGTTCAACAACATGAAGGATCCTAAGAGTCGCCGCCTATCGCCGATTCTTCTGCACTTCACATACGCGATGACCCAGTTTGTTTCTGATCCCGAATCTGGTATTGAGCCCCGGTTAGGTCTAGTGTCTCTTCCCTCATCACCTACTGATATCTGTACTCCTGTCCCTGGGGCTTTCCGTCTCATCACAACCGATAACCCCAGCACCATCCCCCAACCACTACCAGCAAGACGGTGATTCGCCTTCCGAGCTCGGCTGTTCCCCTCTATCAACAACAAACCTACTGAGCTTGTTAGGGTCATCAACTTCCTCCACCCCGCCAACCCCCCCATCGTCGTCACCATCGCCAGTCTCGTCTTCCTCTGGGACAGTCACTTATCCCGACGCAACGAGGCAAAACTGTCACGTACTTTCGGAAACCACGTCTGCTCTTCCAGACTCACGATGTCAATAACACATCTGCCCGGCCGAGTCTGTGCTAGCCCCTCCATCACTTCGAGAGGACTAGTCTTGCTGCTCTAGACCCTAGACAGTTGTATCTGCACTCATCCTGACTCGATGTTGGAACCAGAGACGCCATCTGGATTCTCGACGGCCTGAATTGCTCGCTTCAAGGCATGCGAATGCAACAAAGAGTTCTTATCCCCCATATTTGGTCGCCATAGACTCTTTCAGTACGGGCTTTTCTCAACTCTCCCACTGAGTGAGGGAATGGTATGGGACCTTGCTCTGATGAGCAGAAGCCGCCAGCGAGCGCATACCAATAAACTCCATCATGAGTGTCCTCTGTGCCCGGGAGGTAATGAAGCGACATGAGTAGCTAGTGGGGGTAAACCATAATATATAAATAAACATAGCACTTAGAGTAGACATTGCGGAGGCATCGAGGATTTGTGAAGCATCATAAGGCTCCGTAGAGGGTGGGGCGATTTTAAGCCTGCTTCGAATAGGGAACCAGTATAGGCACGGCCGGCCGTGTCAATAAGGTCACGTGATATATTTCACGGCCGGCCATATAAATAAAATATATTATATTAGCCCGCTAAGGTATATATATAAGAGATCTTCTTCTTTATTTAATAAAGTAGCCGTAATATATATAATTAAATATAATAAGTAATTTAATATAAGTATAGCTATTTAATAAATTATATTATCTATTAATATTAGTTATATATAGTAAATAAGGCTATTTAAGGCCATAAAGTATACTAAGGTAATAATAATAATATAAATAAATTAACTTAATATATAAGATATATAAGGCTAAGACTTTTCTATTAAAAGATATTCTTTATTTTTATATATAATATTATCTTTAAGATATTTAATTATTATTAGAGCTAATATTAGAACCCCCTTAATATCCTAATCTTTATTAATAGCACTATAACCTTAGTAATAAATATACCTAGTAATTAATAAGTATTAGCCCTTATCCTAAGTAATTAATAGATTAAGGCACTAAGGCGTTATAACTATAATATAATACCTCCCTTCGCGGTCTAATAATAATATATATAGTATACCTTACTTATAGATAAGAGATTAGCTATAATCTATTTTAATATAAACCCTAGGGCTAAGAATAAAGCCCTTTCTATTAATTATCTTCCTTAAGGTTAGCTAATTATAGTTAATTTAATAGCATAGGGATAGGAGGCTATAGGAAATTAGTATATTATATAGCTTAATTATACCCTTAATTAATAATATTATCGCCCTAATCTTAATATAATCTTATAATAGACTCGCGGTATACTTAAGGGCTTAGATTTAGAGCTTTATAGTCCCTCTTAGTATATAATTAATAAGATCTTATAGCTAATATCTATTACGAGGATAATAAAATATTTACTTATTATCTAAGAGGTAAAGTAAATAGGGATTTATATCTAAAGTATTAATTAAAATAGCTATATATTATAGGTTTAATAAGGTATATAATAAATAATTTAAAAAGCTATTTTATAAGATATTATTATTTTATTATTACTTTTTATAAATATATATAATAATTAAGTCTATTTTATATTATATATATATTTAATTAATATTTTATTAAATAAAGCTATTAAGCTATTATAAGTATACTTAGAGATTAATATTTTCTTTATTTTTTTATTAATATATATTAATTATATATTATATTACTCTTTTAAATATTATTAAAAGGGGTTCTTATTTTAATATAATCTCTCTTATACCTTAAGATCTTCCTTAGCGGTATTTTATATTCTTTATATACTTTATTGCCCTAAGAAAGGCTATTATATTATCTCTTTCTTTATATTATATTTAATATATTTATTCTTAGCCTTATCCTAATTAAGATAACTTATTTATTCCTCCTTAGTCTATTCTCTAATATTTTTTCCCTCTTTATAATATCTCCTTATTTACTTATAATTAAGGTATTATTTATATTTTATTTTACTATAATATATTAATAGCCTTATAGCCTTCTAATATAATTAATTAGTCCTTAGGGCTCCCTAGGGTAATATAATATATTAGGCTACTTATAAGTCTTTATATTATTAATAAATAGTATAGGGATTATTAGCTTATAATATAAGGGCTTTTATAATAGCTAATAATACTACTATTAGAAGAGATATAACTTAGATTATTATATATATAATTATATATATAATTATAATAATCTTAGAGATAATAGAAGCTCTTAATAGGGACCTCGGCGATAATAAATAAATTATAAAGTAAGTAAATATTTATATTATTATATAGGTTATTATTAAAGCCTAGGGAGAGGGACCTAATTCCTAAGGAAGAAGTTTAAATAGATAATTATAGCGTAATAGATATACTTTAGTATTTATCTTATAGCTATACTAATAATATCTTAAATACTTTAGCGGCGCCCTAGGCTATAATACTCTCTTAATAACTTTAAATATAAAAGATTTATGCTATATATTTAACGAGGGTAATATTAAATTAATTATTAGATAATTAAATAGCTTATAAGGCTTAATAATAAGCTAAGAGGTTCTTAGGTATTAGAGATATTAATATAGATAAAAATAAGATAATTAGAGGGGCTAATCTTATATTAATAAAAGTTAAAGGTTATAAGTATAAGGTAAACTAAGGGTCTTTATAAATATATTTATATAGGTAAGAAGCTCTTTTAGTAATTATACCTATTAATTATTAACCTTCTATAAGCCTTTATATAAGACCTAACTATAGATAATATTATATAATACCCTAGATATATTAAGAAGTATATTTACTTATTACTAAGCCTAATTAGCTTTAAGTTTAGAAAGCTAATTTAATAGAATATACTTAATATTTATCTAGACCTTAAAAAAGTTAGCCTATAAGTCCTTAAGATAGCCCTTAATAAGCTAATAAATACCCTTAGTATATAAAATAATAAATTACTTAAAGTAATAATATTAATAAATCTATGCCTTAATAAATCTCTTTTTATAGAAATCTAGCTAGGTCTCTATAAGGTAGCTTACCTTATTAATATATATAAGAAGATAATATTTCTTTAACCCCTCTAGTCTCTTATTATATATATTCTTAGTTATTAAAATAATAACCTTATGCTATAAGTTAAAGAATTATTTTTATTCCTCTTATTACTTAGGATTACTTTTATCCTAAGTAAATAAAGGTATATAATAACTTAGGATTACCTTATTAATATATTATAGGTATAAAAGTAAAGCTAACTCGGGGAAATAATAAGAAGAGGAAATTATATTAATATAAGCTAGGTAGCGATCTATAAGTATTATAGAAAGAAGGGTTATTCTATAGAGCTTATATATATACCGTAATTATTAAAAGACTTAGATAAAATCCTTTTTTTCCTTATTATTTAAGAAGGTAAAGGTAATATAAAAAGATTATTAATAAGTATTAATACTAATTATATTAAAAAGAGATATCTTATATTTATTAATCTTATAAGTATAATTTAATAAAAATACCTTAAGGTATAATTTAAGGTATTTTAATAATTATAAATATATAAATAATATTATTATAACTCTATTATTCTTATTAATATAAATATTATTCTAAAAGCTATTATTATTTAACTAAGAGGTAAGGGTATATATATTATTTTAACCCTAAGTAAGGTCTTATTTACCTTATATAATAAAGTTATAAATATCTTACTAAGTAATAAATATATTAAAGTTTATATATAAATATAATTTAATCTCTCTTAATTAAATATTAATATTCGCGAGTTAATAGATTTTAGTTTTATCTTAATAAGATAATTAATAATATATTAGATATATTATTAGGCTAAAGCTTAGGGGATAATTATATTAATAGAAGTAAATATTAAGGTAATACTAAAGTCTCTATTAAGTGCTATAAAGGCTCTTTTTTATAGTAATAAAGAGGAGGTATCCTATGCGATATAATATAATCCTTTAGATCTTTTCTTTAATTAAAGGCATTCCTAATTAATTATAGCTAAATATAATTATAACTCTCTTATTAGTAATCTTTATAGATTAGGAAGATATAAAGGTATAGCCTCGCGGCGCCGCCTAGGTATTAATCGCTATAAATAAGTCCTCTTATAAATTAAAGTTACCCTTAGGAGGAAAAATATCCTTAGGGAAGCTATAAGAGTTATTAATTAGATCTATTATATTAGTAGTAAGGCGCGGTAGCTAGACTTAATATTATAGATACTATTAATTAGTGTATAAGGGTATTAATTAGCGGTATATAGCCCCTTGAGGCTATATATCCCTCTTATATAATATATCTTATTTATACGCATGGCCGTGAAATATATCACGTGACCTTATTAATATGGCCGGCCGTGCCTGTACTGGTTCCCCTTCGAATAGCTCATGTTACGTCAGCTCACCCATGCTTAATCATCACCCTTCCACACATGTTATATAACACTGCCACTTCCTGGTCCCGTGCCTCCTTCGCCTTTCTTTCATGCATGCCTTTTCGACAATGGCGGAAGATAAACCACGTGATAAACCAATAACTACATGGGTTCGATTCGGATATCCAGAGGAGATTCCGATTGATGCAACCTTATTTCGCCCACTCAAGGCACAGGAGGATGACTGGCTTCAGGTTTGCCCTTTTTGACCAGATTGTAAGGATATCGCCTCTTACATCAATTAGATACGTTGGGGTCAAGTTGTTGAGTCTCCCGAGGAACGTATGCTTGTGGTGGCTTGGAAATACTCCCAAGCCTGGGTCAGATTTTTCGAATCAAGTCACTACCAAGAGTTGCTGGCCAATCTCGGGACGCATTCAAATGATACGCCAGTAATGCAGGTCGTCGACTTCAACAGAGATTATCCCACAAGGGCCTTGTCATCCCACACCGAAATCAGGACCGTTTATTTCCCTGTCCCAATCTCTCCGGAAACCCGCGAGGCTCTACCGAACGTTCAGGGCTTGGTGACTACGGCGGCTTACGGCCCGAGTCTGCAACATCTTAGTCCTTACGTATTACGGCCCATCTTTGGTTGGATCAAAGCGACTCAAAAATGGGAGGGGGAGGATGTTGTGGCGTGTGTGTGGATTCACACATGGAAAAGCCAGAGAACCGAAGACAAGTTTAAAACTACCGGATGGCTCGCTCGATTCAAGGATGGAAAACTGTCTAAGCCACTCGCTGTCAATCTCTTTGAACAAGACTTGAAAGATCTGGGCGCATTGGGATGGAACGACTATCACGTGAGCTTTCAGAACACTGGTTATATCCCGTAGTTGGAACAGGAACGATACTCTACGCTATACCATGACGACACGTTTCTTGTACTTGACAGATAAAACCTCTCTAGCTCGACACCTCCATGGTTTAGCTCGGTGCGTCGATACAACACAGTACTTGAAGATATCTCAGCTCTGTCCTTCCCATGGGCCGTCAGGTATTATTGACATCCTCCCTCTTCCGAGCCTCCGCACTGGCAAAGGTAAACGTCAGGTTTCTCTTTCCAAGAAGACGAGCGAGGGCATACAAGGTGTATGACTCCGGGTTGGACAAGGCTTCTTCTGTAGTCGCGTAGTTTTCTTCTTCATTGGTTCCGGTGATCCAGTCCAGATCGTCTAATAAAGCTCGTTAGGGTCCCCACCACGATATGTTCACTGATTTACTTACAGCTTCTGTCAGTTTCCGGTGTTTCATCGTTCGTCAAAACGACGTGGAAGAGTTCATGAAACAGGGTCATAGATTGGCTGACAAACTTGATGATGCTTTGCCCCGTTTTCTTGATGGTGCCAAGGTTGCCCAGGTGTTCCTTCTTGTTCACCTTTATGTTTTGTACGCAAATTGTCACGGCCGCTACCTTGAAACTACCGTGTGTGGACCCAAAGTTATTTCCATTGTTCTCGTATCTCTCCGTGCAGTAATCGCCGGGTACGTCAATGGGATACTCCTTAAGGTCCGAGGACCAGAATGGAAAGACTGGTTTCGAAAGTTAGAACCCAGGAAGGAAGTGGCCAAAGAGTTTCAGGTACGTACTCTCCTTTGGAGCATCTTGGTCCTCTGGATCCGGGATTGGCGACTGAACAACGTCGCTCACTTTGGTCGTCGTTCCCGTCTCTGGATCTGGGGCAAACCTTTCACCCGTGTCTTTGTTATAGGCTGTATCACCCCATTCCTGCTCTGGAAGAAGGTCAATACACGGTTGAAGCGTCAATTAACCAAGAATATGTGCTGTGCTTACGTTCTAGCCACTTGCTGGAGCAAAATAGCCACTGTTTACTTCCCTTAGGTATGTAATTGCCATCAATGAATTCTTTGATCAAGCCAAGTCTTTCTATTTTCAATGCCTCAGTGACCGATGGGACGACGTATGACGATAACGAATAGACAGCTTACCTCGAGCCGTTTGCCTATGACCTGCGTCTTGGGGGGGAGGGTCAAGGCCGAAAAACGTCTGCATGTATTCAGCCCCGTGCTCATTGTCGTCTGCCGCATTCTCCAGAGCTGCGTCAACGAGTCGCGTCATGTCCGACCACCATCTCCTTAGCACAGCTTTGTGACTGTCACACCCGCCGACCGCAATCAAACCCTGCTTGACTTTGAAGGCAGATTCGATTACTGCTAGAGCGGAGTGCGACAAGAGGCCAAGGATGAGAACAAACAAGACCAGATGGGGAGAGTATGAAGGCAACATGGTGGAGTCGTTGACGGCAGTAAAGCGCCTATCAAAATTGAATGCGGAAAGCAGAAAACAACTGCAAGAAAGGAACCAGAAAGAACCTGGATGGCAAAGGCTTCAGCGCAGAGGCAAACAGTGTTGATAGAGATAGTGGTCTTGGTTGCAATAGAAGACCCGGACAGATGTGAAGATATAGCACCGTAAGCCATCAGTATCTCGGGTAAGGATGAGGTTCAGTAACCCGTCCGTCTTGCCCACGGATCGGCGACAAGGCCATTTGATCAGAGGCCCCGCCAAGGTTGCTTGTTTCAAAGACATTAGATACAAGAGTATTGTGGCTTTGCCCTTGAATCTCCGCTGCGGGTGCAGCTCTGGTTTCCAGAAATAACATCTCAGCCCCTCCCCTGTTGCGTTGTAGTTGCAGCCCTGGATCTCCAGCCAACTGCGTGACCTGGGCGCCGGACACGAGAATGGGCACCCGACTTCTGCGTGGTTCACATATATGAAACTGCGAAGATTGCCTGGGGCAGGTTCGGCAGGCTGGTTGCTCAGCCCCGTTACGGCACAGTCATGATCACCAACACATCACATCCTTAACCGCCGGGACAGGTATCCCTAAGCCACGGAATCCACTTCCCGTTGGCCCATGGGCATCCTCAGAAACTTTGATCTAATTCCTTAAAAGAACAACCGCTACAGCTCGCTGTGTGTTGGTCAGGTCTGTTGGCCCAAAAAATAACCTACCTTATTTCAAACAACTGTTCATGCGCAGCCCCCTCCTTTTTGTAACTAACACTGGGAAAGACCATCATCTCACGTTCCGGTGGACAAATCACTCTACGGCAAACTAGAACGAGGCCTTTTTTCAGCTGCGAAAGGAATATCATGCCACACAACCCCAGGACCAACGACATGACCTACCCATTGCATGATAAACCAAAGTTGCATTGAAGGATTTACGCGCTTTCATATCCGCCTAACTGCCTTGTGGGATGTAGCTCGGCAGTTGCGAGGCAGAGCACTGCCCAGGCCTCGGCCTGCAATTGCTGCGCACGAGCTGTTTGAGAGTTAATCATGTCTGAATGGGTGTGATGTACGTCGGTGATCCTTTCGAAGATGACTTATCCCAACTGATAGCCATGTCAAGCAACCAACTACCTTCTCAACAGACTTTTCATGGGCAAGACGATCTTTTGCCTTGTATCTTGTACCGGTACCATCAACATGACTCTACAGGGAAACTAAAACATGTCCCATTCCAATTGAATGCTCTTGTTTTCAAGTCAGACCTCCCTGGCCTACCACAGCCAATTCTTTTCAAGTCCATCGAGTGGAGACAGATACACACTTCCTTGGCTTACTGCATTCTCCCATTGCCCTCAACCTTGCGTCCCAAAATGAGGCTTCACCTTCTGCCATGGACGTTGCTGCTCAGTATGCAGCTGACAACAGTAGCCTCCTCACCATGTAAACCTGCGATCTTCAGGCTTAGTTAACCTATCAAGGGCCGGGCTGCAACTATAATAAAGAATAGATCTCAAACATAATATAACATCATGACCCGATATTAATATAGTGGCCTAGTTAAACTTCTATAGCAGCAGAAGAGTTATACCTAGCTATATTATTATGAAAGTCTAACCTCTTATAGGTATTTTAATTGCTCTAACCTCCGTACGAGAAATAAGAGAATTATCTACCTCTTTATCTTCTTAAGCTATAATCTCTTAATACTATAGCTTTAAACCCGATGCCTATAAGAACCACAGTTAATTAAGTAATCAAAGTCACTAGGTCGTATAACTATGTCGCCGCCACCTAGTATAAGAATTAATATCTTTTACCTTCTAGCACCCTCCGTGAGATATATAGTCTCCTTCGTAATATATGATTATCGTCATTTCGGGATATCGACACAATAAGGGCTACCACGGACCAAATCATCAAGCCAGACGTCTATCTCGAGCTCGCAATCCTAGGCGGAGAGACATTCCTCACAACCTCAGAGCGCCTAGGGGCACCACAGAACCTCAGGCGCTTCATACGACACCAAGAGCTGCCGCTGCTCAAAAGTCTCAGGGACAAAGAGCCCGATAAGCACAACACAGCCTGGATCGATAGCCTGCTGGACGTGATCCAGCAGCTGAGAGAGGCCCGGCGAGAGGAAGACCTGCGTGGGTGAAGCGGGGAAGTCGGCTGTGGGGGGGGGGATCAAGGTTTTCAAGTCATTGAGTCACAGGAGTGACTCAAGGGAAGGAAGAAGGTTTCGGTCGTGAAGATAGAAAGGTTTAGGTGGTGGCTACTAGGGTAAGTCAACCTATGAGGAGTACGGGAAGGAAAATGTTAGTTAGAGCTTAAATGCAACATCTCGGCGAATTGCCAAACTTGTTGGTTAGCGCACACATCATCTTTGAACACAATGGTGTAAACCTGCATGTCCTAAAGACTCTTGCCTGTGTAACGGCAACTGTCGGCCTCTTCAACAGTGTCAGACCTGTTGCTTCAGGAAGGATGAATCCCCTGAGCATATCTGTGGTCCCAGTAAGCTACTATTGCAAAGACTCTGATTGCCCTCTAATAATTCCATCGCAGACAAAGAATGTTGCCGAGAGGGCTGCTGTCGAGAGGGCTGCAAGTGCAGCGACAACGGCATGTGCAAACCGCCACTGCCAGCCACTACCAACCCGACCACCATTGTAACTGTCACCAAGTCTGACCCTGTATCCCCTACCGCCGACCAAGATGTGTCGGGCACTTCGTCGGGAAGCCTTCAACTTCCTTCCGTAGGCATAATAGAGGACGAACCGATGCCGGGAGTCACTACCACCCTGGGCTTGTCAAACATACCCCCCAAGGTGCCCAGCACAGGGGTATCTGGAACAAGCGCAGCCGTGCCTGATACAGCTCTGTCCAGTACAGATGTGCGCACCACAGACTTGCATGGTACGGAGCTGCCTGGTGCAGACCTACCTGGTACATCTGTGTCGAGTACGGACATACCTGGCACAGAACTGTCCACTACAGACCTGCCTAGTACAAACCGTGCTGGCACAGAAGTGTCTGGAACTGCCGTACCTGATACGGGTATACCCAGCACAGGTGGCCAAGATGCCACTTCCTTGGCCACGGATACAACTGAAACCGGTATTCCAACTGTCACCACTAACTCAGATGGTCAAGTCACGACTTCTCCTAAGCAGACCATTGATCCTAGCATGCATATCCCCACCACAGTCATTACCAATCCAGACGGCCAAGTCACTACCAGCCGTCCCCATGAGCCCAGCGCTGTCACTTCTGGAACAGGCAGTGACGTGTCAACAGTTCAACCAGATCAGTCTAGCGAACCGGGCGCGGTAGATACCGGTACATTCATCACCGGCACCGATGGGCGAGTCACGACACTTCCTGCAGAGCAGACGAAAGAACCTGGCGAGGGTGCAGTTGGTACAGATTCCCAGATTTTCACCACCTTCCCCTCTGGCAAAACGCAAACTGCAACCGCTACAGTTATCAGCGACCCCAACGGTCAATTGTCTACTGATCTCCCCCCCGACGAGACCGAAACAGCCATCGACACGGCTACGATTATCACCAGTCCCGGGGGTCAGCTCTCTACTGTCGTGCCCTCAAATGAAACTGGACCTGATACTGACACTGCTACCGTCACTAAAGATCCCACGAGCCAGCCTTCAAGTGTTCTCCCTGGAGACGAAACAGAGGATGGCACTTCTTCTATCATCATCAATCCCCACGGCCCTCCCACAACTGTCGCAGTCCCGGACGGAACTAGTACTGAGACTGACACCACCACCACTAGCCCCAACAGTCAGGAGCCCACGGTCATCTCAATGGATACCTCTGTTACCACGGAATCAGATGGCCAAAGTTCATCAGATGTTCAGCCTGAAACTTCTGGGTCTGGAACGGCCACGCCAACTGTTACTACTGGCCCTGCCGATCAGGCATCAAGCCTTGCCTCATCTCACACATCGACCATCCCGGAGACGACACCCAATGGCGAGCCAGAGCCAACTGACGGCACAACTTCTGAGAATCTGAATACTGGTGGCCAACAGGTCACTAGCTCGGGTGATACTCTCTCTCAACCCACGGGTTCGAGCGACGAAGTCACGACTGTCTCTAAGCCTACTGATGGTCCAACGACTATCCCTTCGGATGGCCAAACCACAGTATCCCCGGAGCCGACAGATACAGAGGATGGCGGTCTGGTGATCGTCCCAATCACGACACCGGTCCCGAACGCTGAGCGTGACGACAACGGTATCAAGATTCCCTGCGACATATGGTTTTTCAATCTCTGCATTGCTCCAATCGAGAGCTGGGGTATCATCGTACCCCCTGGCATTCATCCCCCGTATGAGCAGCCCGTTTACTCGTTGCGTCCTGTAGAAAACTGCTAACCTCATCAGTGGGTCCGTTCCTCCCATCAAGATTGATCCCACAGCCCCAATTAAAGTCGACATTAGGGGACCCATGCCATGGCCAGAGTTTACGTATGAAAGCCATCTCATGAGTGTTTTTATTATGCCTTCAAGGCTAACCTTGTCTCAACAGTGTTGACCCAGTCGGAAACCCAACGTTTTCTGAAAGGCCTGATAATTGTGAAACTCGAACGGCTACGATGTGCGTTACCAGCACATCTTACGGAGTCTCTGTTGATGGGACTATTACGTCAACAACAGCCACAGACACTGTCTCGCAATGTAGGTCAATTTACAGCTGTGATGTTGAGGACGATGACGTCTCAAAGACCATAACCAGTGCCACCACAGCCACTACCGAGATCGAGACGTCGACTGCAGTTATGATGACCTGGGAGATATGGGATATCGATGAGTATACAGACGCAGAGCTTCACGAGATGGCGGAAGCGGCACAGTCTCGAATTGACGAGAAGTTTGGTGAACCGACAACGACGACGTCCGGGACCACAACCGAGGCCATGCCCACCCTGACCCGTTCTCCTGGGACCATCCCCTCATCGTCCGGTTTCTCTTGTGCCTCGACAGCCACTTACACGCAGTGTGGTGGCCCAGGTGGCGAGAAGGCTTGTGTCGAAAATCCAGGCTGCGCTTCCTAGGTTAACACGGAGCATGTAACAATGACCACACCGGCGGAGACACCAATCTGCAGCGCGGGATATGAAACGTACACCGCGTCGGCCAAAACTGTCGTTCCTACAAATGCGGGACCCCTTAGGTTCTTCATCCCAGTGGCAGACGAAATAGGGTCTGACTGGGACTTCACCGTCGATAGTGACGATGTCAAGGAGCTTGTCGAGTCTTGGAAGGTTGGAAACGACGACGACGACTCAATTGGGGGTGGTGATGGAGGGAGGGATATCGAAATTAAATGGAAGGTTCCTGAAGATTCGGGTAGGATTGAGATAACCTTGTCTTTTACAGACAATGCTAACATTAGAGTCAGAGGGCACATATGTCGAGCTGCAGTTTAGAGACTCGGATATCAAGGACAACACGTTCAGGTTCACCGCGTTCGAAGGTGTTGTAAGTATATCTCCCCTTTGTCGGATAGTTTGAGACTGACGTAGAAACTAGACCCCCTGTATGCCCAACTGCCAAGACGATGCAACCACCACCACCGATGTGGATGGCATGGTTTGCACGCACTTCCCTTGTCACTTTCCGGATTGCGAACAGGGCCCTGCACCCAAGCCTGAAGCTTCTTGTCTTCTGGTGGAAGATGGTGTTATTGTCCCCTTATTCTACACAGTAACGATCGTTGCAAATGGTTATAGCTGGATAGAAGACAGGGGCGACAAGCTCAAAGACGAAGAGGAGGGTTGCGGTGCCATGACGGATTGGGATGTTGACGACATCGAGAAGGAAATGAAAGCCGGCTGGACAGCTCGACATAGGTTCACTTTCATTCTACCAATAACTATCGCAGCGGGTTGCGTGGAGCGAGCGATCGCAAGCGCGGGAGGACCATCAGGGATTGAATGTGATAGCAAGCAAGGTAATCTATGGTAGTTAGGCTCGTATTCAACATAGTACAGGTAGTGAAATGGATGGCACTCGCTAGTGGGATTGCAATGGGGCAAGCCTAGATGGTGGAATGCGGTTTCTGACTCATCAGATGGCTCCCGCGAAAGCCAACCAAAGCACCTTTGCCTCCAGACCTTCCACCCGCGCTGAGATTACGGTTCCTGGGACTGGTTGTCCTGCCGTACATGTTGCTGTTTGTTTCGAGATGCATCACTAGCTGCGGATTGTTCTCACGAAGGTGACGGCATCACATCCTTTAACAACATCATGTGGTTTGATAGAGCTTGTAACATAGAACACATAGCCTATATGTGTAACACAATAGACCACTATGCTAAAGCAAAAGCAGAAGATACCTTCTGCTATTTGCAGAGGCAGGCAATTGGGCCTTCTAGTGCTGCTTGATACTGTATGTGTTATATACCAGTTACTACCTAACCCTGAAGTTGCTTTCGGAATGAATCCAAGTCAAGCACGGTTATAATCTTGTTAATCTGCTCCTTGTCAACCCAGTACATAGCATGCTCTTGAAACCGAACTCTCTTTCCGTTAGGTTCCACCCCAAACCAATTCTCAACTGGAAGCCCACTGACCTCCACGCTAGCCGCAACCTGGCCAGATTGGCCGTCTACAGCCAGATGCTTTATCTCATAATGAAGTGATTGAACAGCTTTGTGGGCACCATTCATCCAGCCAACAAAGCCTGGGGTTTCAATGGCGCGATTGTTATGAATGATTGTCGGGGACAAGAACTTCTCGGGGTTTTGACCAATCGTTCCAGCGTTGATGGTTGCAATATAGTCGTGATAGTATGTTCTCAGGTCAAGTGACAATAACGTTTGCGATGGGGTGATTTGGGTAGGAGTTGATTCAAGAGGCTGAGCATGACCATCTCGCAGGGATTTGAACTTTGAGACAAGGCCATCGGCGAACCAAATGAAGGTAATCTCTCTATATCCCAAGTTCTTTCCAGTGGCATTTTCGTCATTGTCGCTGTTCAAAACTTCCGCGGCGATCACCTGGGAGTCGACGTCGACGACGTAGTTCCCGAGCTTTGACTGTTGCCGTCTGCCGTCAGAGGCAGAATGCAACTGAGCAATGAAGGCATCGCGTTGAAGTAGGCCATTCTCGAGTTCTACAGTTGGCTGGATGTGCTCATGGATGTCATCCCAGTTTGCGGCGTTCCGATAATCAAGAAAGGTTTTAAATAAGGCCACAATCTCCTCCCTTGACAAGTTTGAGGTCATATTGAAAAAACAAAGCTTGACAAAAATAGAGTAAGATGATAATAATATTGTGCTGGCTTTAAAGAGTTAAGAGGGGTAGTGAATGGATAGTGAGTCGAGATGGGTTGGCGATGTGATGAATCTTATATAGGGTGGATAATCATCTTTAGTCAGCGGCACTCATCGGGGAGTTCAAACACCGGCCATGCCGGCAGAGTTTGTTTTATACTCATTGCCTTGATATTGCCCCCGAGGTATCCGAAATGCATTATTTTCCTTATAGACTAAAGGTTGCCCTTATTTTGAAGCTACGTGTTGGAAAGTTTATTGAGTCTTAACATAATTATATCAAGATGTGGTGGATTTTTGAGTTGTCTCGCTGTAAAACCCGCTGCGATCACTCTGGCAGATTGAGTACTGACTACCCTATACTCCACCTCAAAATTGGCAATTCATTGCTTCATAGTCAGAGACTTGACCGAATCCACTACCGTCTTTTCATAGGGCGTCCATTTCAGTCCCAGGATCTCTTCAGCTCTGGATACGTCGTAACCGAAGGATTGGAGGTTCGGATTGGGGGTGCCCCCCCAATGACCCTCTTCAGGCAGCTTCTCCCGCACTGGACTAGCAACATGGATCACAGCTTCCAAGCCGTACGATCCCAGGCCTTGGAAAGCTCCACTTGCAGCTATGTCAGGGATAACAACAAAGCCGAGCTTCTCCGAAGGAGTACTTGGGTGCGCCGCCCGAATGGCCTGCGCCTTCTCCTGAGAGCGGACAGTGGCCACGATGGAGTGACCGCGCTGCAAGAGAACGTCGATAACGTGCCCGGCAACAAACCCAGAGCCGCCTGGGTTCAGAGTCAATATAAGTAACCGGACTGATGGGGAACCGTACCAGTCAGTAGAGTTCTAGTCATGTTGGATGATCACTAGATGGAAGATACAGGATAACAAGCTGAGGGAAGCAGGATAATATGGTTGAGGGCAAAAGTAGAAGTGGTGAGTTGATTGAAGAAATTCTGGTACATGTCGGAGTGGTCTGGCCACTTAAATAACCTTACCAAGGCCCCTGTCCTAATGCAAGAGGGAGTGGCCTCTGTTCACAACCTGTTTTTCCAAGATGATTCCTCTTGAACTTGTACAAAACCGAAGGCTCCGCAAGACTCGGTGTGGGGAACAAGACGGCGTGGCAGGGCAAGCGTAGCCCAACTCGGGTGATCCCACCCTGTCCCGCCTTGCGTTAAGACATCTGCAGCCAACCAAGTCAAAGCGCTGTCATGGCAGGAATGTCGAACTAAGAGTCCGGAAGGCTAACCCCTTCAGGCATAGGTTACTGACCCCGGGCTGGCCGACCAAAATTTAGAATCTAGGTTGCCGGAGTTAAGCTTGGTCAAGGACTCGGAGAAGTGGTGGGGGGTCCGAAGCTCTCTTGTCCTCCTCTTCCTGGTCCTGTAGTTCCCTCCGTTCTCTTTCTCCTTTGTTGTCTGTCTGATTTACGATTTTATCGGTCCATAAAAATGCACTGCAACGGTCACCCCCCTTTACTATACCCTGAACCTGCTGCTAAAAGTCCAGCATAATCCATAGGTACCATACCACTAGCTCGCTCACCTCCCGGCGTAGGTACCGGTGAATTACCTTCGCTGAGCCCGCCCTTCGGAACCCTTTGTGATATAATAGTACAAAAAACAATATTATGCCGTGTGCAAAATATTCCGTATACCTCCGTTTGGCGTATTCTATATTCGGACCCCTGTCGACTCGGTCGTTCGCATGGGCTGCCCGCAAAGTATATTCCATAGGTAGTGGACACGTCCGCTCTCGAAACTGTTCTACTAACCGCCTGTATGATCACACGGCCTTTATGTTGTAGTCTCGACTTCATCGGCTAAAACCGCATGTTTGCAGCTAGTGCATGCCATCAAGTTGAACTCTGGCAGATGTACAAACGGCCCCACTGTAAAGATAGGCTGATCCACCGGTGACTCCTGGAAATTTTGGGTCCCGTCTGAGATAGTTCGGGGCGGCGTGGCGGTTTGTCCCCGATGAAGTCCGCAATCGCCAAGATTATTGGTCATACTCGCTGCTCGAGTGATTCTGTCCTACGACGAGTCAGGACTTCGATAATGTCGCTTTCTAGGATCTGATTGTTCGCTCATTTGTTTGGGGCTGCTACCACGTCTGCGTTGATGATAGTGACATCGCCATTAGTTCTAATATGAGTAGGAATTTCCTGAATCCTTAAGAATGTATGTTATTCCGCGTAAATCTTGGCTTAAATCTGTAGTAGTGATGGCTGCAGATGATTAGGAAATGCGCCGTCAAGCCCATATGTAGAATATCGCTGTACTGGCCTATGTCCGCTTTGCCATGCACGCGCGATAGTTTCTTCGGCTATGTTTGATACGTTATTAAACCGATTGAAATTTGCTAAAGGTCCACGAAGATGTTTCTCCGTGATAGCAATGGATAGTTGGCGATATAACTGAGTCCCGACCCTGAATGATATCCCGGGAACCCAATGTGTTAACATCAGGTCATGATGTTATGATGTGTTGAAGATCTGTTCTTTATTATAGTTGCGGCCCGGCCCGGCCCTTTATGGGTTAACTGAGCCCGAAGATCGATATCCTGGGAACTGTCATGCTCAATTGTTTGAGGTCTTCCGTAAAGATTTTGCCGACCAAGAGCCGCACCTTGATGCGAGTGCAAACAGCAAACTGTTGGCAAAGTTATGATGGAAGTATTCGCGCAGGATCGCGTATATAATAGGCCGTATGTACACGAGGTATCGTTATATTAGCAGTGCGACTGGTGGGGAGATGAATCTTGCAACTTGAAACTCCTTATTAGTGGTTAGGCACGCTTTATGGTGTCGAGTAATCAAAGGCATTCTTCCCCCGTAGAAGGTAATACCCCTAAGCCGTGAAGGTGTGTTATAGTATGTTATAGTCGGCAACTCTGATATACGAGCTCCTTGTCCACCATCCAGTTGCGTCAGGAACATCAACCGTTGGCTCTGCCTGGTCGCCTGTTTTAAGGCCTCTCGAGCGAGGCCATGAAAACTGGTTATGGATAGATACGAATTTCCGTCCCATGAAAGTACTTTACCCTGCAAAGTCCCGGATCGAGTTAGGCGCTACTTGTAGAAATAAGCGCTTTGCTGAAGTCCCCTGTTGCGTCTGCTGATCATTTGTACGCATAACCTAGGACCGGAGAATGTCGTTCGCTTCCTAGCTCTGGAAGGTGAAGTTGTCTTCGATATGATCTCGGAGCTAGTGCTTTCCTCTTGTACCTGTCCTGGAGATTTCCTTTCTATGCGACTTCTTTAGATGCTGCGATAGTGGTTCGTAACTTCTGGACCGTACGATGCAGTGCTTACATCTTAAACCGCGTTGCAACGCCAGATGTGGATGTGGTGGAGACCCATCAGGGCATGGAGAAAGGGTATCGGGGTCGGCAAGACGCAGAGACTGAACAAGGGAGTTGATATTACGGCCATCTGGCTTTGGAATGCCGTATTTCTCCCCGAGATGGCGTCCAACACGATTATCGTTGGTCTTTAAGGCATACCCACAGCGGATGCAGATGATGACTGAATGCGAAAAGCCATAATGCAAGTTCAGGGTCTCTAGTCTTTGCAACTGTCTCTGAGTGATTCTCTGCGTAGCCAGAGAGGTTCTGGAGGGTTGAGAGGACATGATTTTGAATGTTGATGTAGAAAGACCATGACAAGAGAAAGCATCATGGCAGACGTTCTCTGCAACTCATGCTTGCGAATGGGCCCCGTTCTCGATTAGAATACTTGAGTAGATCGTGCAGTGGACCCCTTAAGGCCATCACAATATAGGGTTACTGGCTAGAGTATTGATTGGATTGAACAGTCCTGACAACATCATGCATATTGTTCGAGATCATAATTACTATTATGAGTAAATGTGCTATGTTCCGGCGCTGCCGATCTAACTTACCCTATTTGGGCGAACACAATTTATCTCTCATGGATATTATTCATTTCCCAAATGAGTACTCAGGTTATTAATAACGGTGGCTCGTTCGCCTGCTTGAGCTTGGCACTATAATTCCCTGTTGGCTGCCCTCACGAGCCAACCTCTTCCCTGGACAGATATCTCAGACCACATTCGTTGCTGAAAGCGGGGTCTCTCTCCGTTAATCAAACCCCGACTGTCAACTCATCGTATAGGCGGCTCGGGTGTTAAATAAGCCACTTTGCCTCTTGTAAGGCCAACACAAAGTCACCACCCTCTCACCATCCCTCTCAATTCGCACTCACCGCACTCACACTATCATACCGAATCGTCATGGAAGACTTTGGCCCCGTTCCTGAATCTTTACTTGATTTCTCACCCCCTCCGAACACTCCTCCTCATTTTCTCGTACGTCATGAAGGCCAGAGGTGGGTGCGCAAGACGCTCAGGGATCTGAACCAGCGGTCGCGCTGGCACGACCGCCGGTTCACCTGGGGCTTCACCATCTTCCGCACCGTCTATACGCCCGAGTCGGATGAGACGTTTCCTAGAGTTATCGAGGAACTCAACCAGCTCGCACGCCAGTACGTCTTCGATGACCTGCGAAGCCGCCGTGAGCCTGGCCAAGAGCCCTTCGATCCTCGCCCCAATGAGGAACTTGCCCGACGATTCTACTGTGATATCATACAAGATGCCGCGTCGTTGGATGGAGCAAGCCCAGATGAAGTGGGCAGACGCTTTGATGCCTGGGTCACTGAGCATCATCTGCAGCCACCACAACCCGTCATCAAAATGGGGCGATTTTGCGTCTGTATTATGCTAGACCAGCAGGGTATCGACCACTTCCTTCAAGTAAACAGGGACAAAAAGTCCTTTGACCGCGCCCAGTATGATCTTTATGTCAAGGTCGTGACTGAGTTCTCGCATGAGAATGAAGAAGGGGAAGATAGGCTCTGGATGCGAGTTGGTATTCGCGGGCAGTTGTGGTCATTTGCTTGTGATTGGCCTGATATGGATATTACTGAGATAGGAGTGGAGGGCGAGACGGAGAGGATTCGGAACTGGTATGGTTGGCGTTGTTGAGTTTCCTCTGCCTAAGGGGACGGAATGTTGGGTATGGTAGCGAAGAGGATAGTTTTTGGCACAATTGTTCATTAGAGAATGTTTGCCTACCAACAGTTTTGAACGGCGTCTTGAATACACAGACAAACAAGGCATTTTCAAACATGTCAATGATGGCTAAGATGATGGCCTTTGTTGAGAAGCGTCATGACAGTGTCATCGCCGGCTCCGAATTGAGGCATCTCTCCATCTTGAGGTTCTGCGCAGAGGATCCGGCCAAAAGAATTTCCCCCAGAGTTTAGGTTGCTGCATTCGCGGTTGATCCAGGGGTTGAGTCTCCGCAAGCTGCCGGGACTCAAGCCCTCGTTCTTCTCGATGGCGGTGCAGTTACTCTTTTGTGAGTACTTGACGAGTCTGGCGCATGCGAGGGGGAGACAGAGCTCAGTACCAGCAGGAATACTGCCGCAATCATGGATGGCCGAGTTGAGGTTGTACAAGGCGGCAGGAGCAAGGTTGTTTTTCAAGGCAACCTTCTCGCAGGTACTTTCGCCTTTACTAGCGCGGTAAATGTTGTCGGATGTTTGCCGCATGTCCTGTACACGAGCTTCAGATCATCCTGGAACCATTCATCGTAGACCAAGTATGAACTGCTCTGCATCATGGCGAGTTTATTTATGTAACACTCGGAGCACACTTCGGAACGAGGCATTTCGTCGATTCTATCCACCTCGGTGAACTTGTCAATGATGTCTGTATGCACGCGTTAGGAGACGCTTCAGAAGCAAGCTTGCCATCTCGTCACTTACCATTGCAGTACTCTCCCGTCTTGCTATCCTTGACGCATGTCTCATTCACTCCAGCCCACATGCGTCCTCCCCGTGTCGTGGGCAGCTGCCGAGAAATGTTGTACCCCTGGCACCATGCCTCGACGCCGTTGAACCAATCTGCGAGAGACTTGCCACAGGACTTGCCGCATATGGACTCAGTAAGAGCCTCATTGTCCTCTTCGACACATTTTTGATCATAGTCGGAGAACCACGAGTAAAGCCCTGCACCCAGTACGTAGATGGCAGAAGAATCTATGATGCGTAGCGCCCAAGAGCTGTAGCAACCCACGCGATCAGTCTTGCAGTCTTGAAAAGAGGGGTCGTCGGGGAAGTGGCCGATGCGGAAACGCGAAGGGGCTCTGGGTACAGGCTGATAGTAAGGTGGCTCGGTCTCGATCATGCCCATGAGGATGTTCTTAGCTCTAGTAAGCTGGTATTGGTACAGGGTGCTGTGCTCGGATGAAGTCGCCCATAGCCAAGCTCGCTGGCTCTCGATTAAGATGCCTCTTGCTGCGTACACACTTATCTGGGTCTGTTTTGGATCGTCAATGTCGTGGTCTGCGACCTATCCCCAGACATTCTCAAGGTAGGCCGTCGAGCCCGACGTCAAGTGAAGAAGCATGGATGCCGCTTTGCATTTGGGGTCAACAGAACCTGTGCTCTTTGTATAATCTGGGATCTGCAAGTTGGATCCAGCGGCGCCTCCAACCCGGAAATGGGAATCTGCATCGTGACGGTTAGTTATTGTTTGCTGGTTGCTTAATATCCTGGAGAAAGCTCACCCCACATTCCCATAGATCCTTTGGTCGCTTCTTGGGCGTTCCACTGCATGAGAATGGCTCCTGCTGTTGGTCCAGAGACAGTAAAGAGCATGTCTTGGATCTCAATAATGCTTGGCGCGTCTCCTGGCCGTCCAACCTGCACGGCCATGTGCGGATTACGCTCATCCTCAAACCCGGACCCGGTGGTCATGATTTGCGACTATGCTTGACCAATAATTCTAGAGCCCATGGGAATACGTAGTGTGTCCTTGATGATGTACACGCCATAGGGGAAGGAGGCAATAGAAGATGTGTTGGCATCCCCATCTAGGATCGAGTTAAGAACAGCAGTGTCGTCAGTCTTTCCATCGCCCTTGGCCCCAAGAGCCTTGACGTTCATGACCTTGTTATTGGGAACGTTGTAATACTTAAGCCGCCTTCTGGTGAAGAGGAACACTTAGACAGGGACGCAGGGGTGTATACGAGGCTTGTTGGTTCCAGCACCAGTGTTGGTAGTTGTCCATGACATGTTGAAACGGTCCTCTGCAATCAATGGAAAAGGGATTGAAGACGTGAGTGGTTGCTCCTGAGCACGGAAGTATGAGAGTGATTAGAAGGAGCCAGAATTGTCGACAGACAGGCCATTAGCAATCACTCTCTGACGTTGCCAAGACTGTTGGTCGATCAAGCAATGTGGCTATGCTAGTCCATCTCTGGAAGCACGGCAGTTATTTACGACAAGCAATTGTATATCTATCTACCTTATTAGATCAGTCTCGAGATGCTATTGCCTACCAAACCCGTTTTCTTTCCCTGTCACCTTCAAAGGGCATCTTCACAATGGAGATGTTGTCACGCCTTACCTGAGGGGAAAGAGGGGGCGATAGGTATTTGCCACTACCTAGTGATACTAAAGACAGGGTATGAACTAGCCTGCCTATTAAGTGCTATTTTTTTTGGAATTTAACTAACTATCCTCAACCTCACTGCTGACATTGACACCATATTGGACAGCTATCTGAATAATCTGGATTCGCCTATTGGCTCATATACTTCCGTCACGATCTGATATGGTCCATCTCTGAAGGCTCGTCGTCATCTTGGTCGGACGTAGAGTCATCGTTGCTAAACGGTGGGAAGAAAGTGGCAGGAGACGGCAGTGAGGCTGGTGCCAGCCTCTCGGTGCGCTCTGATAGATACTCAATCTCGACGGGCCGAGGTTCTTCGTTTGACTTTCTCTTTGAGCTTTGGCCGAGACAAGAGGCTGGCATCGTCGCTGGTTGAGAAAATGTCCCTTCTGTGCTGTCGATTGATCTCCCACTTTGACACTTGGAAGTCGATAGGAGGATATCTTGCTTAGGCCGCTTAGTATCAACAACCACCACAAAGTGGTCTTCCGGGAGAACGCCGCCAAGCCCACAAGGTTCCAAGGTTTGATACTCTATGTGCTGCCGATCGTTGTTCCAAATTAAATCAAGCCCGATATCACTCAAGTGCTCACCTTCGTCGCTTGTTAGACCCCGAGCTCCATCATTGTCCTCGTTCATGTCTGAACACTGCTGATGTAGGGCTTGGCCTCTATCAGTCAAAGGGTTGTAGTTGATGAAGGATCCAGACATTGTTATTTGAGGAGACCGAGCGAATTCTGATGACTCCTGAGGATCCTTTTGGGTTTGGCCACTTAGGAGCGTGTGAGCGGTCGCCGACACATCACTCGGATCACCAGACAGGTCGGTATAAAATGGTGCGCCGGTGTAAAAGATGGCAACACCTCCGTGGCGTTGCTTTTTGTGAGTCGGCCTCCCGAAGCTATTCGGGCCGCAGCTTGATTTGCAAGGATTGCCGCCTTCCGCAGGTTCCAAAGAAACATGTGTCCCTTCCAGTGAACTGTACCCACCGGATGAGTCCTGCTGAAGGAAGAGTGGCTTGTACTGGAAGCTCTCAAATGGAACGCAGAGCTGCGGGGCCAATTGAGGCACATCCTTACTTGAGCTGCCGCATTGGAGCTCATCGTCACTGGAATGACCAGTCTTATGGCGCCTGTGTTTCTTCTCCGAACCGTCGAGGTTGTCGATAGAAGGACTTCTCAGTAGATTATAACCGGACTTGTCGCTACTGAAATTGGTACCTTCGAATCCACGCCATCGAATTTTGCTCCCGTCAGGAGACAACTGAAATTTGGTACTGAGCTCTGAGACGGCAGAACGAACGAGGTTCGGTGTTACGCTAATCATGTGAATCTGGGCCATGTTGCACAGTAGGTTCAAGTACACCCAGCCCTGGGCGTCAGGATGGGCGTCCTGGATGCTGGGCTGTTGGGGCAACAACTCGGGTGGCATTAGACCTAAATGCCGGATGTATTTCATGTTCTCAGATGGAATCTGAGTCCTATCGGGGTCTAAATCACGGGCTTGCGTGGGTCGTTGCTCCGGTAGATGCGGCACTGGGGGAGCCAGGTCGGTATCAGAACCTCCGGTGTCCATGTGATCCTCTGTTGGATTAGAAGGCAACCCATGGGCCCCTGAACAACTCCTATTGCCCAGGAGCTGAGATCCTTGCTCCAAGGAGAGGATATTTGCCTCCCGGGCAGGCTCGCTTCCAAGAGTAAGCGCTTCGTAGGCTGTTGATGACCTCGTCGTCTGTGTGTCCGTTCCAACAACAAAGCTGCCACCCGGCCGCATAGGCGGCTTTTTTAGTTTGAGACGACCGCTGATGTTCCCAGTGAAGAGTTGTTCCAGGCGGTGAACAACGAGATCTTTCCGCTCCTTGTCGGTCATGATCACGTCTTGCGGGTAGAGCCCATCGGGAATGTCTGTGAGAAAGGTCTCCATCTTTTGAGTTGGTGATTCGGCTGAACCCATGGTGGGACGGCTGCGGTTGGATCCTGGGGAGGATGAGGTATGACTTAGCTGGGCTCTGGATCCGAGGTATACGTGATCGCGTTTGTGGAACGATGCCTTTTTCGCCCGCAGCGATAGAATATCTGGGGATACATCGAGATTGGCGGCAAAGTCTCTCAGAACAGCCTCAAGCTCTCTCTTCTTCTGTTCGTGCAGCCCATGAATCTTGGTCTCAAACAGCATGTCTTTACGAAGCCTATGCGGACCGATTTGCTTGTAGGACTTTAGTTCCTCCCTCAGCTGTTGAATCTCGATTGTCAGGTCGTCGATGATACTGCGGTAGCTATCAATACTGCTGCTATTCGCAGGACTAGGTTCCGGAGGACCGAGCTTGTATTGTTTATAGGAGCATGGAGTCTCTGAATTCGACGAATCAGATTCTTTCTGGAAGAAGGGGGGGTCAACTGTAACCTTGCATTAGTATTTTTCGAGATATTTCTTCATCAATAGAGGTAGTTCATACCGTCCATGGTATTGTTATCGATAGCAGCCACCGGATTCTGGTTCGCGTGGTCAAACCATTCCTGCGGGTCGCTTTGTTTAGTCTCATGGCTCTTGTTGGAGGAGGATACTTCGATGTCCGCGTTTGGCGGCGTTTGGCGGGTATTAGCTCGGGGGTGAACCAACCGACAGCGTGAAGGAAGATTATATTTGTCAGGGAAATTAAGAGAATGATCGGCTGCCGGCAGCTGGGTTCCATGTGAGCTATTTTGATCAGGGGCCATTTTCTGGAAGCGTGCGTCAAGTTGAACAAGGATCTAATGGACGTGTGCAGATTCAGCAATATTCCTCTTTGACTGTAATGTGTGTCAGAGCCCATCTAACTTGACATGGAGCAAATTGAATGGATAAGTTACGCAAATGGCGCCTCGGGGAATGCGTTTCATGGGATAGACGACCCGCGGCGAGCGAGTATGGTAAAGCTTTTAGATATATGGGGGAGCTGTCGAATCCAAGAGCCCAGGTCCGCGGGGGAATTTCCAAAAAGGTGGCAGAGCTGCGCCGGAATGCTACTTCATGAGCCAGGCTCTGCTAAAGTTGGTTGAAAGGCGAAAGATGTGGGCAGCAAAAGGCGGCCAGGAGTGTGCGGGGCTACGAACCAGATGGAAATCACGTGGAGCATGGGCGAAGCTTGGAACCGCAAGTGTATGATGAAGCCAAAAACCACCACCAACAGAATTGCGGGCACGCGGTTATGGACAAAGAAGTACATAGCCAATGAGAACTAGAAAAATATGTTTTAGACTGCTCGAATATGGAATTTCCACAGCTTGAGTAGAATGACAAGACATCTATTTACTGCTCTCCGGCTTCGTACCTCCAGGTTTGTGCTGACTTTCAGAAGCGATCTCCTCTTTAAGGTGGCTATCAGATCTCGGCTCGCCAGTCCCTATTTCATCGCGAGAATCTTGATTGGCGCAGTCCCCCACGTTACTGGAGCTTGGAACGGGAGCTAACGGATGGGATATGTTCTCCCTGAGGGGATGTTCCATGCCGGTAGTGACAGTGCCGATGTCCGAAGACGTCCGAGCCCGTGAGAGCGCAAAGTCGCCTGAATCGAAGTACTTTCTTTCCTTGCATTGGTAGCCAGGTTAGCCTGGCTTGTGAATTTATAGGATTATCAGTACCTCTAATTGACCATGTAGAAGATTTGGTGCCTTTGGCTTCTTTGGTGAGATGCCATATAAATGGTGGGCACGCTTGCCCTTCTCTGTAGGGGTTTCAGTATCTTTCGGTGAACCCATACTCGCAAAATAATATGCAAGTTGGGATGAGTAGAAGAGCAGGGCGGGGCAGGGCAGGAAAGTCGAGACACTATGGCTGGAGTAGATAAGAGAGGATTGTTCAGAGGAGTGAGTGCATGGGTAGCACATGGGAAGGTATGGAAGGTTTCCCCGCTCAACCGAGCAATGACGTATCTACAATCAGTCTCGACCGTTCTCGCACGGCAGCCTGCAACCCACATGTCAACTATAAACTCTGGCTGGCACCCCCAACTGGGTCATGTTTTCGATGACAACCATTGTGACCTCAAATTCCTACTCTTCTGTCCAAAGACCATGAAATAAAGTCTGGTATTACTATTGCACACTGCTTACGCCAGAGTTGGAGGAATGCGAGACTGGGAATTAGATGATTGAGAACTTCTTTGAGTAGATTATTCTTTACCTCGTATACGGTTTGAAGCTGGAGATATCACCTGGATAAGAAGGGCATTGTACTGTAATGTGGATCGTACTGATTACGTCATGGGAACGTAACAACGGTCATATCATGCATCCCTTGATCGGCATTTCAATGCTGATCTCTCCTCCCATCTGCCGAAGAATCAGCTGCGCCGGTCATCACCTGATAACCCCCTGTTCGAACCATGCGGCTAGTGGAATCAGCGGATTGCCAAGGACACGACTTACGTGTCAAGGCAATGTCCATTGGCGGTTTAAATGCAGCCATGTTACGTTCAGGCTACTGCCTAAAGCGCCCTAGTGCGGCAATAAAGCGGCTATGCCATGAGTCTACTTCCAACCAAAAAGAGGGGTAACGCATTAAGCTTGGTCAAGGGCTCAAAGAAGGGGGTGGGGGTAGACTTCTGAGCAACCCAACGGAAATAACACAGGTAACGCATTAAGCATTACCAACCAGCGGACACACAACGAGGGCGTCCCCGTCTTCATCCACCAAGGTCCGGAAAAGACCATCGCCGACGGTATTCACAACGACTACAGGCGGATCAGGCTCGTTGACCTGGACGGGCACGGCTTCTCTTCCCCTGAGCCGTGTCTCGTACTAACTAATCTTTGCCTTTCAGTGACGGCAAGGATGACTATTCATACATGGACGATATAGCGGTCTCCAGGTGTGGCACAACATGAAGAAACTTATCAGATTCCAGCCTCAACAAGGGCACGAATAAGAACGACGTCAACGGCTGGCTCTGGGAGCCCGTCAATAGCGGCAAGGTCCTCTCCTTCCCCTCGGGCGTAGCAACAGGTCGACGGGTATGTGAATAGAACACCAAGTGTCGTTTATTCGAGGGTAATACTGAATATGTTGAGTAGAAATGGATCTCCGACTACTTCAACGTCGACGCCAAGAGCGGAAGGATGGACCTCTACTGGAACAGCCTCAAGGACGTCGCTAAGGACGAAGATCCAGTTCTACGACGTCAATGGGTATATGCGAGACTATCTGGCCGTGAGAGGCTAGAGAAGTGACGGCCTGGCTGACTACGTCTGGACACAATCCGTCGACGACGCCGTCCGCGTCTGGCTCAACCAGTACCCCAAGGCGGGAGCCATCGTCGCCTGGCTCAACAGCTGCGCCGAGGACGACCTAGCACCCGAGCTAATCCTCATCGACACGCCGCCCGTCTGCAACAAGGAGAGCGACTTCCCCGGCCACGTCAAGATCGAGAAGTAGTGGGCGACGGAGCCGCCAGTCGTGTGCGACGACTGGTTCGGCAACATCGACAAGCGCGTCACCGACGGCTTCAACGACCAAAAGCTGGGGAAAGACGACTATAACCACAAGGTGCGCTACCGTGTCCAGTGGCGCAAGGGCTGCAAGACGGAGCTCAATGGCCGCAAGGACATGGACGTCCTCAACCCCGTGGAGGACTACAGCGTGCGATGGCGGAACGCGTTCCAGATGCCATGGGAATACTCTACGTAGGCCGAACCTCCTATGCTTGACTTTCTGCTAACTACTTCTCTCAGGCTGGGATGAGAATAATGGTGTTAGAGCTTACCAAGATATGAGATGTCGTCGGTATTCAATCGAGGCCGGCATTTAGTCTTGGCCTAGCATCGGTGTTTATGTACTACTTGATACAATTTCGTAGTTGATAGAATGGTGATGCAATCGTGTTCTTTTATCGTGAGGGCGAGCGTCAAATGACTGAGAAGTCTTCCTCATGGAAAGTATTTGTACAAGAACGGGCGGGACAATATATTCTTAATATGCTTATTGCTCGCTAAGAACCTCCTGAATCGCCCGACCTATAGGAGCCCATATTGGCTCAGGATCTGTTTGTAGGGCTACATCCATATTGTTATGGCAGATTGCAACAGAAATCCTCTGTTTAATATCCGCCCATGCAATAGAGCCACCAGCCCCAGGGCTATAGACGATCTCACGATGAGTACCGACGAGTGGATCAGAAGCTCCTGGCTCTCCGCCGAGCCAGAACCCTGCTGCTCCGAACCAGGTAGGAAATGGAAGTAGTTCATCCGCATCATAAGCGCCCTCCCTAAAGCGCAAAAAGCTCCTCACTCGCTCGGGAGAAAATAGCCGAACTCCATCTAGCTCCCCGCCCTCTGCGATCATAGCAAATACTCGAGCGATTGCGGTGGCGGTACCAATAGCTCCAGCCCCTGGGTCTATAGTTTGCTGGACAATCTTGAGATTGTGGACATCGGAACCGGGGAAAACGGAGGGAGGCGAGGTTCCGTGCTGGTCTTCGAACAACATTTTATTGCCGCCATAAAGTGTCGCTACCCTTCCGAGTTCGCTATCTGGTACGCCCAGGAATAGGTCGTCGGTGATTCCAAGTGGAGTGCAAAGCTCATCCGTCATGAATTGACCAAACGAACGTTGTTGTGGGTCAGTTCGGCGGACGACCTCGCCAAGGATCCAACCCCAAACCAAGACATGGTAGACATTGGCTTTTCCAGGCGGGTATACTGGAGTGAAATTGGCGATCTGTTGTACCATCCAGTCCCAGTCTGCCATTAACTCTGGTGTAACGCCAGTGGGCATCTGTGGTATGCCAGAACGATGAGATAGCACCTGCTGGATGGTGATGCCGTGCTTCCCATTGACGCCGAACTCAGGCCAGTGCTTCGCTATTGGATCCTCAAGTCGTAGCAGACCGCGTTCAGCCTGAAGGTGGACTGCTAATGCAGTGATGCCTTTGGTGACGGAAAAGATAGAAAAGAGGGTTCGCTCGTCCGTAGGAGCCTTTGTTGCCACATCTTTTTCACCAGCAAAGGCATTGATGATAAGTTTGCCGTGGTAGTAGACTGCAACAGAAACGCCTTTTTCACCACGGTCAAGGACGCTTTGTAATGCTTCTTGGATACGGAGATCGAAGGCTGGTGCTTTGGGGGGCATGATGAAATTGAAGAAGTGAGTTTTGAATGTGGACTTGTCTGGTGAGTAGATGGAGGGTGATGTTCCTGTTTATGCTCGATAATTGCCACGATAACGGTTCCCTGGTTCCTGATGCTTACCGGGACCAGATGTTCATTGATACTACTTTCTTTCGTCCGTGGAGCCCGTGAAATCCGTGGAATCCGTGGAATCCTTAGCAAACGGACGAACATGGACTAGCGACGTATCCTGCAACAGGCGGCACATCGGGTTTGGCTACAACACGACCTCCGGAGATGATGCACGAAATATCCCGAATTCCGAACCAGGAACAAGCCCAGCTCTTCTACGGAGTAAAACTTCGGAATGGACGGACCCCGTACAGAGCTTCGGGGGTTGTTACGTGAGACTCCCGGTAATCGGGGAAGTCTCAGGTAGACCAGTCTAAATTAGGAAGACCACGGCGCGTGCCGGAAAGGAAGGTGGCAATAGCCTCAGGAAGAATACAAGCCATACACACAGATTGAGGTCATCCACAAGGATAGCCCTACGTTCCACAGCACATGTCTCGACTTTCATAAGCCACAAAGAGTTCAGGTGAGTCCGAAACTGAAATCGTCTCGATGTAAGTGTTAACTAGCTAAGATCCCTACCCTGCGGTGTAAGATATGAGATGCCATGGAAGGTCAACGGGCATTCTTGGCCACAGAGCTCTTTCAACTGGCGAGAGCGCGCCTAGGAAAAGAATGGTCCCCGGCGGAGTGACAAATGTCTGTTGCAACAATATAGCAAAGTTATGAAGCTTTGGTATCAATCACAGCAATAACCAATCAGCTATGTACGGTAGATGATAAGACTGATCAAGGCGAAATCATCCCTTCCGACTGCTTAACTCCTTCCAAAGGATTCAGGTAGTCCCTCCGCCTCACAGTAAAAGCCTCGACATCAATCAGGCCCAGATCAGTGAAAGGCTCATCAAGACTCCCAGCCTTGATGGACACTGTGTCCGGAAAGGCCTCGGGCTGGCCATAGAGTGCTGAACCGCAGTCACCGCAGAAGTCGGTATGGTATGACATTTTCGAATCTGCAATATAAGTGTGACACTTGGTGGCCCCTATCAGAGAGAAATCAGCTTCATTTCATCTATACCTTTGACAGACAATCGTACCCTGAATGATCTTGAAATCTTTACAAGCGATAATAATATTGACACTGAAGGCACTGGCGGTGCGCTGTGTTGCGGGTGAGCATATTGGAGTATCAAGAACTGGGAAGAGCGTATACTTTCTGACAGTTCAGGCAGTGGCAGATAGCCCTAACTCCAGAGTCGACTGTCCTATATGTCAGTTATTTTCATCTTGATCGTGCACACGGCTGAAGTATGATCCAGGGGTTGCAAGACGATTCTTACTTTCTGCCGTATACCTAACAGCATTACAGGCACATCCTCCTGTGACAGTCATGATGCCAACAAAAGTATTTCGCTAGACGCGGTGGCAGAATCAGGATATAAAGTGATGATATATTTAATTTGAGGTCATTTCAGCATATCGCAAGCCAAAATTACTCCCATAGCAGTCAGTGTCAGTCAAGATTCTTATATTCCAGTCTAGGACGCATTGGATCTTCTCCATGACACCCAGAAAACAATAATCCCCGGAAATCGTAAGAGGCCGTCGGAACAATTACGTCAGTCATGAATATCTGCCAGGTTTTCGGGCATCGGATTTCAAACATCGGCAGCTGTTGAGGATCAAAGCCGTGGGCCCTTCGGGTTTCGGATTAGACCATCGGTTTTGAGTCTCGATCTTCTCATGTATTTCCGAAATCGAGTAACAATCTTCCAAAAGCAGTGCATCACGGTACCGTCACCCAAATGATATCGGGTCAGGTAGAAAGGCTTGGACGGGCTCCTACATACGGTTCGGAATGATTTTAAATATTTGCACATAATTTTCCCGTCAAAAAGCCTCCACTCTTTTTCCTACTAGGTGAGTTGTCAATGCTTCTCAGGGGCGTCAACATGGGAACGACTCCCGTCGCTGTTGTAGGATGGCCTGCAAATCATCCCGTTGATTGTTTAGTAACACATTTTTTTCACGTGTCGTGGGTTTCAGATTTAGTTAAGAAACTCTTGGATATCCTAGCTCGCGAAAGAGCACATAACGAGGCAATCGTTCAAGGGACCACGTTGTTCCTCCATGTGACGATCGTGGGGTTTCCAAGGCATAAACCGGCCAAGTCAACTATGCCCGTTCAACATACATCCCCGCCTGCTTCTTATAGGTGGGCCATTGTGGTTCTACTTGTTCTACCATTCCCGACCCCCTGGCCGCCTGTTATTCTTGACATGGGTCATGGCACTCCAGTAGTCTCGACAGTGTACCTCTGGGCGAGAATGATGGCGAATGAACAAAACACAACGCATGGCGCATTTGCACACATTGAGTGAGGAATAAGAAGGACCAACGAACTTTCTAGAGGTTTCCACTCTGTTTGCCCGGCCTTGTTCACTCCTTATGGTAGAGGTTGTTTGAATCCTTGGCAGGGTACTTTCCGTGCAAACTCTAAGCAACAGGCGCGGACCCGGTGACGTAAAACTTCCGAGTATCATGAGCGTTGATTAGATGACTAAAAAGGCCAACCCATATACTTTTCGTCTTCCTCTCAGCTACTGCCGTATAAATACTGTGACACAAGTCTTCCGTGGCGGTCAGATCACTCTCTCCAACTCGACACATCTATCCACTGCTTGGTGTTTGAGCAAACAATTCACTCTATTCTTTCGATTACGACACAATGGCCGACGCTATCACCATGAAGCAGTGGGTCGTCCGTTCCGACAAGCATGATCTCGACGGTATGGTCTTTGTCGACGCCCCCATTCCACAAGTTGGAGAAAATGACGTTCTCGTCAAGCTGCACAGCGCTGCCTTGAACTACAGAGATGTTGCCATTCCAAAGGTTTGTTAGCTGGCCAGCATGCCAGTCTGATGAAAAGGCGGCAACTCACCGCTGACGTGATGATAGGGGAAATTTCTCTTCCCATACCAGCTACCTATCGTGCCGGCATCTGACGGTGCCGGGGAGGTGATTGAAGTGGGCTCGCGAGTCACCAAATGGAAGAAGGGCGACCGAGTTGTCACGCTTTTCAATCAAGGTCACCAGTACGGAGCTGTTGATCCTGTTGTTGCAGCAACTGGCCTAGGTGGTACGATTGATGGTACCCTGCGCCAGTATGGGGTGTTCAGCGAGAATGGCGTTGTACGAGCTCCCGGCAACCTCAACTTTGCCGAGGCGAGCACGCTTACGGGTGCGCCCCTGACGAGCTGGAATGCACTCTATGGTCTTCGGCCGCTCAGGGCCGGAGAAACCGTCCTGGTTCAAGGAACGGGAGGAGTCAGCATCTCGGCGTTGCAGGTGAGTGCTATCTTCCAATGTCGCTTCGAAGTGACCTTTGGCTTATGATTAAAAGCTTGCCAAAGCGGGTGGGGCAAAGGTGATCGCAACCACGTCTGCTTCCGAAAAGGCGGAGAAACTAAAGGCACTCGGCGCCGACCATGTGATCAACTACAGGGAGAATCCCGAATGGAGTGCAATAGCACGAAGGTTGACTCATAACGAGTCTGGTGTTGATCATATCCTCGAAGTCGGCGGCTATGGGACTCTCGCGCAGAGTTTGAAGGCGATCAAGTACGAGGGCATCATTACCCTGATCGGCTTCTTGGGCGGCGGCTCAGGTGAAGCCCCCCCTTCTGCTTTGGAAACCTTGTCAAGCATGTGCACCATTCGTGCTATCTATGTTGGTTCGAAAGAACAAATGGAGAAAATGGTTGCCGCATATGAAAACAACGACATTCACCCTGTTGTCGACTCCAAGTCGCTCTCTCTTGAGCAGGCAAAAGAGGCATTTGAATACTTGGTGAGTGAGGCGATAAAGGTTCTAATCTGAACCCATAACTAATATGCAGTAGGGAGCACAGAAGCATATTGGGAAGGTTTGCGTGCAGATCGAATAGAAAAAGCATTCAGGGCTTCGCGATGGGTTCTCTTTGCAATGGTTGGTGCTATTTCAAGCGACACTACAGCCTCAATATTGTTTTCAGCTCTTGGCCACCCGACCCGCCATGTATCTTCCACATGCTGGCCGACATCTCGTCATCACTGCTGCCTTTGTCGAGGAATGTGAGAAGTTCTAGGCAACATGGCCAGGGCATCATGCAGAATACCCCAAAAAGTGGCTAGATATAGGTGTCTAAATGGCTAATGACGTTGCTCAATGCCCCAATCATGCAAGTGTCTCAGAAGATGACCTAGCCAGGTGTAAACAAGAATCGGAAGCGAGAGCTAACTGTTAACCAGACTCGTGAACGCGAGTCTCACAACCGAAAGGTACCGGAGAGAATGTTGTTCAGTTGGTCACCTTACTTCATGCAGCAGTGAGGGGAGCCGATAATGCTGCTGCTCTTCGTACATAGGTCCTAACCCTAACCCGAAATGCACCACCAATCTCCGGCGACGTCTTAAGAGCCCCTAAACGATGCCCGGTTTACCGGAGTTATCGGCTCCGCACGAATCTCGCCATCGCTGCCAATGACTTCGAGTATGTTCTTCATGGCATTCAACTCAAAGTTGATCCGCGTTGTGATGGCAGCGCCTCCGTTATGACATGTCATGGTCACGTTATCCATCGCGGCCAGTACCTTTGACACCTGTGGCTCATGGTAGTGAACGTCGATACCAGCAGCAGAGATCTTGCCGCTCTCAAGTGCCGCAATTAAGGCGTCTTCGTTGACAACTTGTCCACGCGCAGTATTAACGAGACGTGCACCGTCCTTCATGGCCGCAAAAGCCTTGTCATTGATGAGGTCCTGGGTGTGCGCGTTGAGCGGTGTGTGGAGAGTGACACAATCCGCGACTCCGAGAAGCTCATGCAACGTAGCATGGTAGGTAGATTGAAGCTCCTGCTCAACCTCGGGCGGTGCGCGTACGACGTCATAATAATGAATCTCCATACCCAGTGCGGCTCGTGCCTTGTGTGCTAGCAATCTACTGATGTTTCCTAGTCCCACGATGCCCAAGATGTGACCACGTGGGTTGAACGATATACTTCCAACTAGCTTGTGTGTAGCAGCAAAGTCATCTGGATTGCAGGTACGGGCGCCCTTTTGTGATCGCCAAAAGTTTCGAAAGACGGACAGGATCATGAACAGAGCTGTGTCGGAGACAGCCTCGTCACTGCAACCAGCGCCGTTTGCATACCAGATGCCGCGTCGACCGAGTGCGTCGACGTCAGCCCAGTTGAAGCCTGCGCCAGCAGATGCGAAGATGCGAACTGACGGTGGGAGGAGACCAATGAGTTCATCGTCCCATTGGCCCATCTCACCTCCCGTCTGAAAATGGGGTCGAAAGATGGCCGAGAAATTACCATATCTAGAGAAGGGAGTCAGGGATGGTTCTCCTCAGGATGGGTTCACGTCTCACTTCTTTTCTTTTAGCGCCTTGATAAATGATGCTCGGTCGGGCTCTTCATTGGCCACGACCTGGAATCTCTCGGTAAATACGTCTTGGAAAAACTTGTGGTTATACTTGATATCCTCTCCAAGACGGAGCACAATGGGTTTCTTTGAAGTCATGGTAAAAGTAGTAACCTAATGATCAATGATACTTATCACAGCGGTTGTGAATCAGGTTAAATAGATGGTTAACCCCGCAACAACAAACACCTATCAAAATCAACATGCACAGAGATTGGGATCCACACTGATGCCGCATCTTGGGCCGGTCATCTGGCCGTAGCGTCGGTTTTCGACCCGAAGAGGGCGGTGGCCGGGAATAAGAAATTTCCATCAGACAATCAGAGTGTTCGAGCATCGATAAAGGCTATAGGGATCTCGGGATTACCAAGGCCACGGAAGACGTCGAAGAAGAGGTAGAGCTTTGCAAACTGCAAGTGAAACAAAGCTCCGTTACGAGGACAAGTTCCAAAGTTTTCCTGGTGGTCTGATGTCAAGAGAGCATGTGAGAGTCTTGCCAGTTCAATATCAGTCGTTGAGTCTCACCTGAGAACATGCTCGTCCAAGGACCAACCCATTGATCTAGTTGATGCGAAAAGCTGTTGATGTGGTTATACTCGACATTGTCTGGTGACCCCAAGTTACTCAATTTTGTGCCATGATATACCGACTCGATTGGAACTTTGGGCAAATCTCGCTCAGTTCTGGGGAGAGTTTAGCCTGGGGGAAAGGGACACTGTCCTGTGTCTCATGGTCACTTGGAGCAACTGGATTTTCTGAAGCCTCTCTTACTGGGAGCTCTTTACTGCTCCTAGGGTAGGTCCCTCTTGAGAGTGGGTCTCCCTTCGCGCAGCCACCAATCGGACAGTTGACCGTCCTAAATGCTTCCTTGAATATCACCATCGGCTCATTTATCCTCTTCTCCAAGTAACCGCCAGACTCGCACCAACGCGTGAATGACATTAGGACCCAATAACCCCCGCTTCACCAGCGAAGAGGCCTTGCGGCATTGATGCCGGCGCTAATAACTCAGGTAGTGACCAACGGGTTGAAGCCGGCTATGCCCTCACGGGACAGCGGCATAATGGTAGGATAGGGGACCTGTTTCCTGTCGAGGCTCATCCAAAGTTCGGCACCAAAGAGTCCAGAATTCGACGTAAATTAAAACATACTTCTTTGTCGTTTTCTGGCTATGTCTTATAGGTAGAGTAAGTAAGAGAATAAGTCCAAATATGAAGCATTTCTGGCCAGAGTACTAACACGATCGCGCCCCTGGGGGGCTTGAGCTGCAGCTTGTTATCTTCTGGTGTGAGCTAGCTATCTTCTGGTGTCACTCGCCCAGTTGGGGTGAAGATTGACACACTGGTGTAGCCGGACATCGTTCCGACGTAGCAGTGTGTAAGTCAGAGACCAATGGGTTCCTGCCACCCTTTCCCCGGGTTTTCCCCAGGTTACCCCGCATAACTAGGTAGGCACGAGAAAGGAGCATATAAGTATAGCATTTGAAGCCACCTGGGTCCCAGCCGCCCACTTCATCACATCCCCCTTCAAACATCTCCCCTCAACACGGCCCCTCATATATCTCCCATTCTGTTACTTCTCCCACCTTACTTTTCAAGATGTTCAAGGCTGTGGCCGAGTTCTTGAAGCCAAAAGCGGCTAAAAGGATGCATTTTATGCATCTCAAAAACAACACCCACCCAACATGGTACAAGGATCCGGGTCTCCGCAAGAATGTCTGGCACTGCGTGGGCTTCTATTTCGCTGTATTCTACTTGGGATACGACGCTTCTTTAATGAATGCGTTGCAGGCGATCCCCGAGTGGGAGGAATACTTCAATTATCCCTCGGGGAACACGCTCGGCCTCATATCTGCGAGTTTGTTCCTCCCTGCTATCGTTACACCCTTTGCAGCTTCTTGGATAAACGGCCTCTGGGGTAGAAAGTGGTGCTTGGCCATTGGATCTATCCTCCTGATCCTCGGTGCCTTCCTCAATGCCTTTGCCAAGAACATTGGTACCTTCATCGGTGGGAGGGTAGTTATTGGAGCAAGCGGGCCTTTTGGGAAGATAACAGGCATTGCACTGCTTCAGGAACTCGCCCATCCTCGTCTTCGGCCGTACGTTGCCACAGCTTACTACAGCAACTACTACGTAGGCCAGATTGTTGCCGCCTGGTTCGGCTATGGAGCCCTATCCTGGCCGTCAACCGAGTGGAGATGGCGAGCACCTTGTTTGTTTCAGGCCTTTGCCCCAGCAGTTGTTCTGATCCATCTTCTCTTCGTTCCTGAGAGTCCACGATGGCTGGTCGACCACGACCGGTCCGAAGAAGCACTCAAGGTTCTTGCCGACGAACACGCCAACGGTGACATCAACGATGAGTTGGTCAGATACGAGTACGATGAAATTTGCCGCGCTCTACAACTTGAGAAGGAAAACAACAACGCCAAGTATACCGACTTCCTCAAGACCCCTGGTAACAGGCGGCGGCTGCTTGTTCTAGTCACTATGGGCACAGGCTCCAACTGGGTTGGCAATGGCATCATTGCCTACTACCTCTCGCCGGCACTCAAGCTTGTGGGAATTACGTCATCAAGCGCCATTGCTGGCATCAATGGTGGTATGGCAATTTGGTCTCTTCTCTGGGCCTACGCAGGAGCCATGAGTGCAGAGCGCGTCGGTCGCCGCACGCTCTGGATCACGGGAACCGCTGGAATGTGCGCTGCTTACGCTGTTATCACCGGTCTCAGCGGTTCCTTTGCCGAAAACCCCTCCCACAGCGTGGGTATCGCCGTTGTTCCCATGATGTACATCTTCAAGACCTTCTACTGCATTAGTTGGTCACCGCTGCCGTTTGCATATGGCGCTGAGATTCTGCCTTATAATCTGAGACTCAAGGGTCTCAGCATCGAACTCAGTGTTCAAAGTGTTGCGCTGGCTTTTAACCAATGGGTCAACCCTGTGGCCCTTGAAGCCATTGCGTGGAAGTAGTAAGTTTGCATCCACTCACCACTTGACATTGTCACTAACACCCAACAGCTACATCGTCTACATTGCCGTCATTGCCATGTATCTGGTACTTATCTTGTTCTTTTTCCCCGAAACTAGGTAAGTCTTGTTCCATCCCTTGCTTCCTGGCGCATAGTTAACACCATCTCTAAGAAACATGACCATCGAGGAAGTGTCTATTCTTTTCGACACTGGGCGAAAGGGTGACGCCGCCGCAGCAACTCGCAAGTTCATTAATGATAAGTCGGAGAAGGAAAGAGAAATCCTTGGAGACGATGACGACGTTGAGAAAGGACCGACTATATCTAAGATTGAGCGGATCTAGATTGTATATCTTATGAGATCTTTCAATTCCACTGCCTATTTTTCATAAGGTTAATTCGTCATGGGGCAGCAGGGCTCTACCCGCATCATGAACACTGCCTTCTACAGCATCTTCGGCATGGGTGCCAGAGGTGACGGGGCTTCGTGTCCTGCATAGAAGCCTGCAAATCGAGCTGGATCTCTGAATTGAGGGTCGTCTACGTCAAATGAAACCGCAACCAACGAGGAAACAACGTTTCCATTAATTTGGAGTAATAGGCTGGTGTTAGGGTTTAGTAGCCTAGGCCCGTTGATGTTTGACGTGCGTGTTAGCCTATGTGGTAATTCCCCAAACAAAGGATCAAATACTCATGCGATTGATTGTACAATAAAGTAATTTTTGTTCTTTAATGCTCTCCTCATGATCCAACTGCCCTAGCACCTCATCCCATTCCTCATAGGTGCCCTTGGCTGTAGCGCCCCTTAATGGCAGCCGGCCACCTGACAGATGACCGAAGCCTAAAACCTGAAAGATGGCTTCGCGAATGCCGAGTACACCATTCCCGAGGATGAACTCCTGCTAACCCTGACCTGAAATGCACAATTGAGTTGAGGTAATCTCTTCCTCACTATTTAATGCTATAGCAGCTACTACAAAACTACATTAAGGTACGGATAAAGAAGTTAAATGCCATCCAGTTTTCTATCCCCGGCTTATAACTACCACTGAGCCTCTCTCCTGACTCCTTCTTTACTAGTTCATGTAGGTTAGGTAGCTCAAGCAAATCGAACGATGTCGCCTGGGAGGTGACAAAGATCTTAACAATGTCCATGCAAGGCCCACAAGGCGAGAGGTACCTTCATCTTGATCTTTCCCGTGTAAACCCCTGTACATTTCCCTGTTTGGATGTCCTTTGCGTCGCCTTTTAGTGGGATAGGGATATAACTGCCGCCGGAGATATTCTTAATTCGGCCACAGGGGCCCAAGTCGTAGATCTGAGCATAATTAACGGTGCGGCCTACGTTCTTGATAACCACTTGCAGAGGACTCCCATTCCGTGCCTCTATCTGCTCCCCAGGCCCAAAGGATCGATCATCCTGCCGCATATGAATTTGAAATTCCTCCTGAAATGCAGTTGAAGGAGCCTCATTGATCAGGTTCTTCACCATTCTGAACCGCGCCAGATGTTCCAGAGTGTCACAAATAGTTTCAACTTCCGCCTCGCCCCGCTGCACCTGTGCGATATTGAACCCATCCTGCAATGAGTTATCCAGAAACTCGTATTCATTGTTGGCGCCTAGGGTGACTTGAACTGCCCAAACTGCTTGAGATTGGCTGACAGAAACGTGAAGGCCGAAAGACCTATCCTCCAATGCCTTGATTATAGCATCATGGCAAGGAAGGTCTGGCGCCAGGTGAAAGCAGAAGTTGGCCAGGTGAAACGATGTGAGCGGATTGGCGACCCATCCAGTCTGAACATTGTGTGAGACGTCACAAAGTCCCATGTCAGACGTGAGAGGCTCAGCTAGTACGATCTCCGCCACACAGGCCCCCTTCCCAGTGCTATCATTCATCGTGGTTGAGGGAGCCAAGGTAAACAAGTCGTCTTTGTGGAGGCCATGGGCTCGACCTGCCAGAAGCTCAATCTTTCCAGCACGATTCATAACACACACTGACTTTATCCCATCTTCTTGATTAGCCTTGCCAAAGAAACCTTGTTCGCCGTTCTAGTAAGAAACAGGAGTCTGGGGCACGCACTGTTGTTGAAACGTAGCGCATATATGGCGATAGATGTGTTTGTGTCTTCAGGTCAACCCGTGCTCTGACAGAGACTTTGATAGGAAATATGATAAAACCCTGTACGGCCTTTCCTTGCCAAACACATCAGAGCCCCTCTTGGCGACTTCTCGTGGGCCACACGTAGCGAGAATGGTGTGTCGATCAGGATCCATGAGCTAATTGTCCCGCATGGACACGTCACGGTCTCCCGAACGCGTTGCTTTATCCGTGGGATCAACGGCAGGATCTTGTGGATATCTCGATGGGTCAAAATTACCGGGGAAGTCATTGGGAGAGATCGTACATCGTCACCCATGTTGCTGTTGCGATACACACTCGCCAAAAAACAGCAGTCAAGGACAAGAGTGACGACCAGGTCTTTGAAAGTCATAGCTTTGAGGAGACTACCCAATTTCGGACCGCGAAGAAACATGTCGGGACTTTGATCCCCTTTGAGGAGAACCAGTGCCAAGTCTCCGGTTGACTTATTCGACAAGTCTCAGCAGGGCTTCATCCTAGTACCATGGCCAGAGTAGTGTATGTAAACAAATTCTCCGGACTTTGCTTTGCATGTGACTCTCTCAAAAGCCAATGCCACGTTGTATTGATCATTGTTATCGCTGGATGTACTGCGGCCCAAAAGCGGCTTGGGGGCAACAGGGCACGGTTTTGCCCTCTCACATATGGTAGGTTTGGAACATTTGCTCTACAATAAAGGGGCAAGATGATTATTCGTCTATATCTAGACTGTTGATTCAAGGACGGCTCATCTAGCTTCGAGCCTCACCAGTCTGAACCCGTCATCATGGCGCTTTGGTTGGGGTGGCAGTCTTACATTTCGAAACTCGGGCCAATTCCGGGTTAGCTTCTCTTCTACCCAAGACTCGAGCTGTTGAATTGCGCTGTCCGCTATGGGTGCTGGCGGGATGGGCTCGTCAAAACATGAACGATATGCTGTCTCGTCTCCTGCCAAGCATCCCGTGGCGGCCACCCAGTTCTGCAAGCTCGCAATGTCTTTTTCGTCAGCCGATTGTAAGCTGAAGGCTCGAGCTGTTCTTGCAGCAAATTGGTCTACTCTCGGTTAGTTGAAGCCCCGACTTCTTTTATATCTCTCTCCCACCGTTGTCTGCCAGGGCTGTCTCGATCTCAGAGAGAGTCGACAATCGGCTCTTGTTTCCATCTATTCGGCTTCTTCCCAGAAACAAAAGTGTTTCTTCCTCTCGATCAATTTGTTCCAGTCGCTGTTCGAGGTCCGTCAGTTTGTCCTGCTACAGGGGGAGAAGCCGAGCTCGAAGTTAATCGAAACGGCGGCATATAAACCAGGTGCATCCTGAGTCTCCAAACATGACCGTTTCAGACGTCGGGGATACGACCAAAAGGCCTCCATCATGCTGCTTCGTATTGTATGCGTGCCTACAGGATGGATGATTGATAGTTGGGGATCTCCGGCAGTTAAGGCAACATGTCTGTCCGGGGCCTTATTGCGCTCTTGATTCCCCGCTGGAGGGTGGCCCTGATCCCTGCACAGCCCCATGACAGGGCAGTGCGGCGTTCGGATGTAGAGAGGCTTTGGGAATGTAAGTGGAGGCTTATCAAGACTCTTGCACAATGGCCAATTGATAAATACTTTCACCCACCCATCCTCGGCCTAGATCATCAACACCCCAGCACGCATCCCTACACAGCGCAACCACCCGTTGTACCCATCCTTGCCGCTAATCATCATCGTTAACCCCTAAGCCGAGTCATGTCGGAGGTCGAGGATTTCACCGATGCTAGCGATGAGGCCATTCGAGAGGCAAGACGAAGGCTCAAAGACGATACTGATGACCCAACTACTCAAGCCTGTCGATTACAAGAACTTGCAAGTCTCTTAGTCAGCCAGAGTTACCTCGTTCTGGAGAACATCGTGAGATCATCCTGTTGAGCCACTTGCGTCTTCAGGACTGGGAGGAAAATCCTCTCACAGTGGTCGACTTGATCCCAATGAACCTCCGAGAGCAAAACCCATTTCTAGCCTACCTTAGAGCCTGCGGAACTAGCCAGATGGAAGAAGCGAAGCATCTCGACGAAAGCGTGCATCTGATCAGCGCGTGCCAGGTGGCCGGATTTCATCACGTGGTCGGCACGTTGTCCAAGGTAAATGACGAGACTTGTGTGGACATTGCGAGAATCACGTATGGGACAGGGGCAAGAACGATTCGGTTAGCGAGGGGTTGCACCAGTGGGCTCCTTATGTTCACTATGGCTGTTGATTATAAATGAAAGAATTTTATGAAAATATCCCCATCTCATTTAGCAATCCAACAGATGTTCGTCACAGCTTGACTCTTTAAAATCGATTCTATCTCAGACATTGCCGATTTATTAATAGAGCTATAACTAAAATTTGAGTTACTATGGAAGAAGATTAAAGACAGAAAGAATAAACATAGCCCCAACAACGAAAGCATTAAAGCTCTGCCGGTGTGCGCTGCTACTAACAACTGTAGGGTCTTGAGTGGTTTCCGGTTGAGAAGAACCAGGTCCTGTGGCACCACTAGTAACAGCGCCAGCAACTCCCAAGGTTGACTTACCGCTTGGCTGAGCCGTTGAATCCTTTGTATGAAGAGTTGAAGGCCTTGCGCTGTCGTCATTGGTGGGCTGTTGTCCACCATTGAGTCCCTGGCTGCTTCCATCATGTGCAGGCGCAGAACTTTGCAACGCCCCCGTAGAAGACCGAGGAGGTTCTCCTGTGGAAATCGAGGCATAGACCTTGGAGTCAGCTGGTCGGATAGGCATAGCCGACCTGGTGGAATCGCTGTCCCATCCGTGCGACGAGACCTCCGCCAACTGTGTGCTGGGACCTTCTTCACTTCCCACAGTAGTCGCGTGAAGAATATCAATTGTTTTGGATGACTCTTGACAGTAGGAGATACCCCCAGGACATCTGGTGACTGTGACAGGCGTCGACTTGGAGGTGGTTGGGGCGCTCAATCCATCACTCCTGTCGGGATGTTTCGTCTCTGAAGCAATCCAAGAGATGCCGTCGGTCGACGAAAGGGGGCAAACTGTCGTACTGATGGCGACAATCTCGGTAGTGATGATCATCGTGTAGTCGGACGTGGGGCAGTTCCTGACACTTGAGGGACATGCCGTAATAGTGACAATGTTGGTGGCAAAGATGGTCGACGTTGTCAAGTGTTGGGCTCTGGTACTGGAAGTGTCGGTTGGGATGGAGGACATGCTTGAAAGGGGCTCTGTACGGGTCCGAACACCTGAGCTTGATTCAGACAGTGTGAAATCCAGAGATGAAGAAGAAATGCTTGAAGACTTGGAAGATGTGGAGCCGTTCGATTCGGTCGAAGACTGCCTTGTGCTTGTGTCGAGAGATGTGCTCGTCTCTACTGTTGTCGAGGTCGGAATGGCTGTTGTATAGGACGAAGAATCTGGGTCCCCCGTAACAGATAAAGTGGCACTCTGAGAGGTTGTCTTGATAGAAGAGCTCTCGGATGTGTTGCTGACGCTGGTGGATGTTCCCTCAGCACTTGATTCCGATTCTGTGCTTGGCTCCAAGGTAGTTGTCGACTCAGAGATACTTGTCGATTCTGAAGACCAGGTAGGAGAGGTACTGGACTCTGAAGTAGAACCAATGGGATTCAAAGCAGTACTTGAATCAGGAGTGGCAGTGCTAAGTTCAGAGGTAGTATGACTCGATTCAGAGATAGCAGTGCTTGGCTCAGAGTTGCTAGCACTAGATTCGAAAGAAGCACTTGACTCGAAGGTGGAGGTACTGACATCCCACGTAGTACTTGGTTCAGAAGTGGTAGTGTCGGATTCCGTAATGATGCTCAAGTCCGAAGACGTAGAGCTCCATTCAGGTACAAGGCTACTCGTCGATATAGAGTTGGTGAATGTAGAATCTGTCGACCCTTCACTATCCCAAGAAACGGAAGTGGTCTGAGATGTCGTCATGTCCTCTGTCGACGTGATGACCTCACTGGTGGCGGTATCTGTGCTGGTAGTGGATGCATCCAATGTCGTGATGGAGCTGATGAATGAAGCCGCCGACGTAGTTTCAGCGGAAGATTCTGCGGTTGAGCCTGTGGCGCTACCAGTGGTGGTTGTAGGCGTATCAGAAGTGGCCGATGAGAGCTCAGCAGTGGCACAAGGATCCGGAAGATCATCAGCCTTGAATGTCAGAGCTGTGCAGCCGTCCACGATAGCTGGGCCGTGGCGCACAAGACCTGTGTCGAGTTCGCAGATGTAGAACTTGTCCTTCTCGCCAGACACACAGCTCAGTGTACCCTCAGTGGTGGCGCGGCATTCAAGACGTGACCATGCTCCCGTGATGCGTGATGCAGGATACATGTACACCAAGCTGTTGGTGTTGGTGTGGACTGCGGCAAAGATATCGGCGCCGGTGGTCTGAGACTTGGACTGGAGATGACCGTTCTCTGTAAGCGCCCAGCTCAGAGGCGACTGCTCACCACGGAGATCAACGGCCAGGAAGTCTGAATAGAGATAAAGCTTGTGGCCGTCCTCAACATTTCCAACATATACCGTCAGAGACACTGGACGAGCAGCACCGGCCGTGCATACAGGTGCCTCGGAACTAGTCGTAGCATCCGAGGTGGCGCTGCTCGCAACAGTGGTAGAGCTTGCGACCTCAGAGGTTGTCGTGTCCGTGGGCTTGATGTCTCGTTTGACAGTGAACCACGGTGAAAGCGCGTACTGCCAGTCGTCGAGGTTGTTCATGTCTCCAAAGGTACGGACTGCTCGGCCAAGGAGCCGATACTCGCCATCAGGGATCGAGGAGCCGTTGGCAAAGTATCCCTGAGATGCCACATAGAACGCACCAGAGACCCGAGGATAGTTTACCAGGGGGAAGTTGATAATCTCATTACTGAGACCACTGGGCCGAGTCCGAACCGAGCCAATCCAGTTGTTCTTGCCAGCAACAGGGGGATAGACCCAGTCACTGGGCTCCCAATCCCTGGTCACATACTGTCAGAGTAAGTCAGCTGCAGGTTCTCAACGAGTTAGAAACCCAAATCTTACGTCAAAGCCAATCTCTCGAGTGGACCACAGGATGTTGAAATAGGGCTGGAACACATCCGAGTCGTGCTCCAACGAGTACTCGTGGCCCTCTTCCATCAAACCACCATATCCACTAAGCCACATAGGAACCCCTCGATGCATTTCCCAGGTGTCGCTTCCGTATATACTTCCTTTGATACCTGTTATACATTATGGTCAGTAACCCCAAGATGCTGACGGGGTGGCTCAGGTGCCGACTTACCCATATAGGTGACAGAAACAACCTCGCCGTTCGAGCCCCCGAAAAGGATGCGGCCGCCGTAGACAGGGAGATAACTGGCGCTAACGCTCGCTGGCTCGACAAACTCAAGGCGGAGAGTAGCAGATTCGCCGGCACCGAGGGTGAAGGTATCATCAGAGAGCGAAACTGTGGCCACTTCACCCTCGTCACTGGAGTACGAAGGCTCATTGGAGACCCAGGCATCCCCGTTTCCTTTGGTGTGTATGGTGATACCCGCCTCATGAGTCACCTTGTATGTGACGGTCTCGTCGTTGGAGTTGGTGAGAACTACTTCGTGAGAGGGTTTGAAGTGAACCGTGTCGTTGAGGTTCAAGTTTGCTGGACTGACAGAGGTGCCAGACAGAATGACAGAGGCAGCATCAACGATTCCTGCCCCCTGTCTGACAATAGACGCAGGGTTGCTGGTTCCATCGTTGTGTTGGACCAGTCTTCCACTCGCGATGATACGCTCGACAGCCGTCTGGGCAGCTTTAGGGCCCAGAGCAGAGCGTCCACCGCGGGAACCGAAGAAGAGAGCACCGACTCCCGCAATATATGGGCTTGCCATACTAGTGCCCGAGTAGGTTGCCCATGATCCCGAAGACACCGGCCAGGTAGACAGGATGGAGCCACCAGGGGCCGAGATTTCAGGCTTCATCCTGGCATCAAGAGTGGGTCCCCAGGAGCTGAAATCATTGATTCTTCCACCTGCAAAGCCAGACCGAGGTATAGAAATGGCCTGGTTGTTGTGAATGAATTCAAATGTGACATCGTAGCCACCCTCAACCTGGCTCATGATCCAGTCACCGTCTTCGTACAGGATGACAGCAGCTGTGTTGAAGAGACTGTCAGTCGCATCACTTCTAAGGCCAGTTCTCCAAACTCACAATTCTGAGGTTGATCGTCTCTGTAAACGGCGCGATCTGGGCGTTCCCAGTCCCCCGACTCTGTCTGGATATACAGGACGCTGTTGGTCTTGCCGATGACATTCGAGTCCTGGATTTGCCATCCGCATGTTCCCTTGCTATGATTTTCATTCATTAGTGCCTATAACACCCATCTTAGGATAATGGTTCACTTACGGAATGACCATTACAGAGTCTTTGGGCCCAGTGGGCTGGTCCCAGGTACATGCAGTTTGCTCTCGAACGTCGGGACGAGTGAAAGCCGCGAAAGTGCCGTTCAAGTTGAACTGCTTCAAGGTGTCGCTGAGATAGGGCTGTGTTGTTCACATGATTGTTAGTTACTGTCAATGCCGGCAAGATATGTGACTCACAATCTCTCGGGTCTCTCCGCTAGAAGAAGTCGCTGTGAACTGATATGCAACCCAATCCTCGGCTTGAACACTGCCAACTGCAAGACTTCCAACGCCGTTGCCGCCACTACTCGTGTAGAAGGGGCCCGTGGCGCCACTGTTACCGGCAGCAAAAACGACCAGAACCCCAGCTGCTGCAATCGTCGACGCGATAAGGGCTGTTGGACTGTCCGGAAACCCCCTGTTTGAACCAAGAGACGCATTGATCACATCAGCACCGTCTTCGTATGCTTTGATAAACGCAGCCACGATGGTATCCTCGTAGGTGCCATCACCACAGCCAAACACCTTGTAAGCACGAAGACGGGCTTTGGGTGCCACGCCGGGGAGGTAGGAGTCCCCACTCGCCGCAATTCCAGCAACGTGAGTTCCATGGCCCAGGCAGTCCATGGGGTCATCGTCGGGCTTGTATTCACCCCCAGCCACATAGTCATCACCGACAAGATCATAGCCTGCCTCGACCCGGTAGCCTGGACCAAATCCTCCACCGAAAGCGGGATGGGTATAGTCAATGCCTGAATCAACGATTGCGATGACAACATCTTCGCCGAAGTGACCAGCCTGGTGCATGGCAGCCACATTGGTGTCGTTGTGAACACTCCAAGCAGGGTACTTAAGTCGCGAATCGGGGTCAGCAACAGCAGCAGACCCTTCAACCGGCAGGTGAAAGAATGCTGCGGGCCAAATCTTGGCAACCTCTGGAAGAGCTTCAATCTCGGCAAGGGTGTTGTTGGTGGCGTTCTTTACGTCGAACGAGACTCCTTGAAAGATTTCCGAGTCAAAGACGAGTGATGGAGTGACATCTTGGCCCGAGTCTTGCAGAACCGAATAGAATTCGGACGCGCCCTATATGACATAGCTGTTGGTAAAGGTCTTCTCTATTACGCGAGACTACTGGAAGAGACATACAGCATCAGCTTCATCTCTCTTGAACTTGGCAGAACCGGAAAACTCGACAATGAATCTAGTGGTGTCGATGGATAAGGGGCTGGGAGTGCCCAACGAGGTATCAACGTCGTCACCAAGAGCGAGGTCGGAAAGGAAGAGGAGGGGAGCCAAAAAGAAGAACGACCTGATGAATGCCATCTTGACACGTCCCACACCGAGGTGATGCCGATGGGAGGGTGTAGAGAATGAACGGCCGAAGAAGGATCGTGGGACGTAGAGAAAGGGTTGGGATGAGGGTTCCGATGAAACGTACCGAGCTTGATGCTACTTTTTATAGAGACGCAGCAAAATGGGACGGACCCTCCGGCTTCTACAAGCAGCAAGAAAATGCAATGAACATGATCAGATAAGATCTTTTCGATAAGATTAGATGTGAGTGGGTGGTCCAAGCTAAAGCAAGTGCCGTAATTTAACATCCCTGTAGTTGGCTGCAGTGGAAATCACGATTCCTTCAATCAGATGTTCGGACCCATCCAAGAAGCAAAGGATCGGGGCTTAGCCGGCCTTTTGACTGTCATTTTCATCCCGACATTGATAACCTTACTTCTCTAGTCCGCCTCTCTGCAGGAACACGAACCTGCCAAGACGAACTACGCAGCTGGACACCACGTGGTGGCCAGTCAAAGCTCTGTTGCGTGGTCCGAACTCGGCTCAACACCCCCCACAACCCGATGCGTGATGCCAGGGCCTCCCAGAAAAGAGTTACACTCGGATATTGGAATAGCGACAAGGGGTTGTTGGGGATGCGGTGGCTCTAGTGCAGAAAATCCCGCGTCTTGTCCGCTACGAGCTTGCTATACACCGAGATTCCGAGACGGTTATCCGGTGGGATGTGGCTCTTCATCACAGTCTTGAAGACTAAAACCATCAATTGCTGTGATTGACATGGGCCAGTTGTGATCCCATGCATGACTGTGTAGAATGGTTTCATTCTGACTACCACCTGCCCAAGTTGGGAATGCTTATCAGCATGTTGCAGGAATTACCTCGAGCCAGAAGCAGAAGAGTTGCGCAATTTACTTGGTACCACGAGACTTTAGCATCGGCTGCCAAGGAGCTCCTGAGCCGCAAGAGGATATCTTTCCGAAGGGTCGTAGGTTTAGTGGGCTAGATCCTTGCTTATCAGATGTCAGGGGGGTTGATGGAACTCACTGCAAAGGTCTGGTTGGTTTGTCAATCAACATCACATCAGGGCCTGGTCCGTTGACGATGGTACATGGTCAACGAGGTTACTGTGAGGGACATTTTGTGCGATATCGGTGCTTCCTCACCCTGTTGAGGGATGGCCAAAATTGCCGCCAAGCCATTAGCAATAAGCAATGAAGCGTTGCAACGCTCGCCCCGATCCGACAGTGTTAGTTCAGGACATTGGATAAAGCTCGGAAGAGCTCGTGAGGACATCTCGCTTAGGGGATGTATAGCCGTCCTCAAAGCAGTCAGTCGATGATCATACTCGCAGCCCCTGTGTCGACCTACGGCGGAATTCCGGAATTATTTGGACAACGATTGACTCATGTTTGATCCTCTTTTTCTCTTGGCATCAATGATGTCTCCGTCGGGTACAGCCGCAAAGAACATCATGATCATCAACACATCCCAGCATTAAAGTCTGGTGCTCTGAAACACCAAATCATTGATCTCTCTAGCAGGGTTTTGACATCTCAAACATGCATACTGCTGGCAGCCGAGATTTTCGTGAGGGCTAGTACCAGAAATGGGCCGGAGGGGATAACGATAAGCAGGGGGGTAGAAAGGAAAAGTTCACAGAGTACATGGGTGGTTTGAACTGGGCAGAACTATGTGGTGCTAAATTGACTTTGTATTGGTCACTTAGCCCATCCGCCGCTGTAACCCTGCTTGGAGGGTGTGGGTAAGTGTTTGGTGTCCGAGGCAGAAATTCGTGAGAACTTCTCTATCTATCTCCGACAAAGACTTGCCTGCCTACTTGGTAAGAAGCAAATCTTTAGAAATAGCAGCAAGTTCTCAGGTAAAAAAGCATAGCAAGGCCATCAGCCTTGTTGTTGCACTAGATGTAAGCTAGATACGAGCCGCCATGGAAGTGCCATCAAGTACTATGTAGCTAACTCCCCGACATCCTGAAGTGATCTCTGTGAAAATCAACGGCTTGGAAATTCAGCGCCAGGCGCCCAGTTTCAATCTTGTCTGACAAACAAAGCATGACTTCTACAGCTCATTCGCGAGATAGACATCATGCTTCGTTTTCTCCGTTTCATGCTCTGCAGCAACACAATCCGGTTGTCTTTCATCTTTCTTCTATTGCCTCACGTTCCAATCAAATAAGCAAGCTTTTTCTCAGACAAGATTACCAGCCTGGGGTTTCAAGGAGTAATAATCGCCCTCAGATTCTGCCTCGACGAACCTTTCATGTTGACCTTGATACTGATTCAGATAACGACCGTCGTGCAAAATAAAGCTCCAAGTCATCCCCCACTATGCTTTGATGTCTGGTTCGTCCGGTAGAGTACCGTAGCTTCCCAGGCAGGTGTGCGTTAGAGAGCGTGGCCAACGAATTCAACAATTAATGAATGCTATGCACCACTTTGTTCGAGCATCATTGATGAAGCAGCTACAATGCGAGGCTCTCCCAGCATCGAATGAAATATGATACGAAACACTGCCCTTTAAACCCGCCAACGAAACTCTCACATGTTCTCAATTTCTTTCAATCAGCCGCACTCCGCCAGTTCTAACATGGACATGATATGAAGAAGCTCAGCTTACCTGTACATTAGCCATACTATTCTGTAGAAATAATGAGCCATATTCCTGCATTTGAGGACCCGAGTCTCGTAACACTACCCACCTTGATTTTGGGTTACCAGAAATGCAATTGGATTGTGTCTGGTAGAGTGGCGTGTGGTGCATCGCGTGTTTGGCATGATGCAATGCAGATAACGACATGGCAGCGATTGAACAATAAGATGGGAATTGGCTTGTCCGTAGCAATCACTTGTCGACCTTGTTGTCAAAGGCTGAATTGCAAGCCAACTCTTTGTCTTAATCGTCTTCAAGGGCGAACTTCATGTTGAACCTACCCTGTACCTACATCGCGCACTGATGAAATGAGATGACAGCCACAGAAAATGCTGAGCCACACAGCGCCACAGCAGTTGGCGGGGCGACAAATCACAACAACCATCACCCGCTCTGTCTTGGAGGCAAGGTAATGTCACATTAACAATCGCTTCAAAAAGGGATGACACGACACAATCGGCAACTGCCAGCCTATGACGCGGTTCACCAAGTGTCAGAAACAGAATGTACGCGACTGAAGCCGCCGTTGCTAGCTGGCTCTCATCCATTACCGACTTGAAAGACAATCCCCTCCCTTTCCCTTCCGAATCCACCAACGAGACGAAGCAAAGCCGACCGCGCAAGCGACGGAGGCTCAACACTGGCTCCCATAAGCTTCCATCGCCGCCAGCCTCAGAGACGACGAGAATCGAGTCAGCCATGGCCCCGACATCCCCTCAGAAGCGACAGAGAGATCCCAACGACGACGGCACCGACTCGGCACATATCCATAAGGCTAGCTAATCTACTAGAAGGGAACATGTCGAGTCCGCCGGGGATATTCAGGGCGTGTAGCTAAAGGCATCTGCTTGGTGCTGTACGATGAGTAAACTCATGGCTAGGGCTTGTCATTGTCCCAGGCCTACTCGACAGAGTTCTTCACATCCTGCTTTGCATTGCTCTCCAACTCCCCCTCTGTAATAGGCTTCACTCCATAATAGACTTGCGTGATATCAACAAGCTGGTCACGGGGGACACCCTTGAAGCGCTGGTCGATCTGTTCCAGTGTGAGACCGCGTGTCTCCATGTAGGTGAAGAAGATGACGATGGCAACAAAAATATTCCAGACAGTGCCCACGATATAAAACCTGCACGCTGTTAGTCTTGCTGACTCGGCCTGTGACATAGATTGTAGGACAATTCTCACCTCCATCCAATGCCGCTCAGACCGATGGGGATCACGTATTGGTTGAAGAAGCCAGCTGACGAAGTAAACACGCTATAGATACTGTAGTCAATCTCATTAGTGACATGTCCAGTAGAGCGAGGAAGCAGAAACCTACCCCATGCCCTTGGCTCTGATGGTAAAGTTGAGGATCTCGGCGCAGTAAGAGAACGACAAGGGCGTCCATGTAGACGAGTATCCGATCTGGAAGAGGTACACCATGGCAATGATTCCATTGCGGCCGAGAGAATTGTCCGTCTCCCGCGCAGTCAGGCCGGCCATGGTGGCGAGAACGGCGGCACAGAAGGTAGTGCCGGCCACCAGCATGGGAACTCTACCGACGCGATCGATGAAGCAGATACCAACCAGAGCAGAGAGGAAGGCGACGCAGTTTTGACTGACGTTGATGGCGAACTGTTCTTTCTCCGATGTGATGCCCGCCAGGTCGAGGACGCTGCCCAGGTAAAAGGTGATGATACTGGAGCCGATGGTCTGCTCGAATACGCCCAGGGTCATGAGAATGAAGCCCCGGTAGAGGTTTTCCTTGGCCCCGATGAAAGCCTTCCACCAGGCCCTGTAAGACTCGAACTGGTTCTCCTGCTCAAACGTAATCGTCTCCTTGATCTCCCTGAACTGCGAAGTGACCAAGGGATGCGACTCGTCTCCCCTTCCGTGGAACCTGGCGAGAACGCCAAGGCCTTCTTGCTCCCGGCCGTTGGCGATCAGCCATCGAGGAGACTCTGGGATAAAGAAGAGGCAGAGGATACAGGAAAGGGCCGGGCCGGCCATGCAGATGCAGATGAGACGCCACGACCAAGATCCCGCAATGCTGCGAGCTCCATAGCCGACAGCGGAGGAAATAATGGCACCGAGAAGCCAGCACGCCCAGTACAGGCCGGCGACGAAACCTCGACGCGTGGGTGGCGCAAGCTCGACCAGGTAGGTCGGCACGGACGCGATGTCCACTGACTTTGCGATACCTACGATGATGCGTCCGATGAAGAGCTGTGCCTTGGTAGTCGCCGTGGAATGCAAGATGCAGGACACGAGCACGAGGCAGGAGGATATGAGGATACCCATCTTGCGGCCATACTTGTCTACCAGGGCACCGACGAAGAACCCGGTGACGATGGAGCCAAGGTTCTGAGCCGCAGTCAACAGGCCTTTGAGGTTTGTGTCTATGTCAAACTGCGTCTGGAACTCGGACTGCATGCAACGGGTTAGAATGGAGAAGACACAAGGAGGGAAACACAAACCAGGATATTAAGGGAGGACATCATGCTTGCGTCGTATCCGATGGTTGCACAGTTCAGCGCTGCGACGAGGCAGATGAGCGCCATCATCTTGCTGATGGCGAACATGGTGGCGGCGTTGAGAGGGCGAGGATGTATGTGACTGAGATGTCTCTCCGCAAGCAGTCTACAGTCCCACGTTCTGTCTGCCAGTGGAGTTTTGATGTCTGGTCCACCAATGGATCAGGCTTGGCTTCTTATAGTCCCGATCCCCGCGTTGCGAGGCTATAACATGCGATTCATGACCTCGCTAGCGAGCCAAGGGTCTTATCGGCTAAGATATCGGGGGTGATATCGATGGGGCCGGTATATTATCCTGGTATACTGACTGTTCCCTAGGTTATCCGAAGAGAGATCGGCGAGTCCGCCTAGATCCCTCTCCCGCCTCTCTCAACGATCCGACTCTGAGGGAGCATAGAAAGGGGTTGTGAGGCCTGTTCTGGGGAGGCTAGAGTTCGGATATCTATCCTATCAAAACACAGCCAATATCTAACAAGGCGGGGGCGGTGAATCCGATGCGGGTTAGGCCACACCAATCGAATTGGGCTTATTCTATCGGCATCTCCGCCCCTTGCCGATCCTTCGTGAAGTAGGCTTGGCCTTGTCGCTTGGTATATTAACCTGATCTAGGCAAGATAACAGTGATGCCTCATCTGCCACGCTATCTTCCCGTGACTTGTCCAGACCTACGCCAGGTTAATCCTGCCCATCATCCGTTCGCAGCACAGCGTGACAATCGATAACAATGCCTGGAAGAGTTAGCAACTGGCCAGCCTGGAGCGAGTTCCTAACACCTCCCCAAACCGTCTCCGAGGACACATTCGCCCCCTCTGCCACAGCCAAGGGTGAGGTGATTGCGCAGTATGGGCAAGATGCGCTGCGACAGGGCTGGCTGAGGGCTTGCAAGGATCTCGAGACCGTCACCGAGAGGCTGGCAAGTCTTGGTAGTGATGCCATCCCTGTCCTGGAGCTGGCGGACATCTCCCGCGAGGGCTTGTCGGATGAGCAGCGTTTCATCTTGAAATCCAGCGGCTGCTGCGTGATCCGGGGCGTTCTCAGTGAAGAGGAGGCAACTGACCAGTACCAGGACCTCAAGGCCTTTCTCACAAACAACGAGGGTGCCATCCCGGGCTGGCCGTCAGAGTCTCGTGTCATAATCAACGTCTACAACTCCCCGACCCAGGTGGCAATCCGCACTCATCCCAATCACATCCTAGTCCAAAGGGCCCTCAACTCTCTCTACCATGACAAGTCGGGCGAGACATCACCCGAGCCCCTGAGCTACACCGATGCAGCCCGGATCCGGCCTCCAGGGCAGAGCTTTCTGGGACTTGGACCGCACATCGACGCCGGCAGTCTATGCCGTTGGGCGGATCCGCAGTATCGCAAAGTTTACGGCGAAATCCTCTCGGGCCATCCGGAGCTGCATGATCCATATGATCTCGACGTCCGCAAGAACGCTGACCAGTTCTTGTTCAAGGCCCAGGCGCACTCTGTCGTCTTCCGCTCGTTCCAAGGCTGGACGGCGTTGACTCAGACGTCCGCAACAAAGGGTACCCTGCTACTCTATCCAGAGGTCAAGGTAACCGTGGCCTATCTCATACTGAGGCCTTTCTTCGCTCCTCCACCGAATCCAGAAGACGTGATGGATGCCGAGAAATGGACTTTTGATCCGGATTCCAACTGGTTTCCAGGTACCATCAAGGAACAAAGCCAGCGGCTAAGCCCAAGCTCACATCCACACCTACGCTTGAAGGAATGTCTTTCGTATATTCCGGACATGAAGCCAGGCGACACTGTCTGGTGGCATACTGATGTAGGGAATTATCAGGCTGTGTGGAATGAAGAAGCTAATACTGCCCAGATGTGCCATGCCGTGGATCCCGACCAACTCGGTGATCAAGATGCCAGCGTGGTCTACATAGCCTCGTGCCCAACTACTCCGATTAACAAGCGCTACATCAAAGAACAGCTCGAAGCTGCCCTCGCCGGCCGGTCACCCCCAGACTGTACGAGTGTAGAGACGGACGAGTCCAAGCTCAAGGGATATGCCGGCTTCTCCCAAGTGTCTGAAGAAGGAAAATCTGTTCTGGGATTTGGGCTGATTTGAAGGATGGATATCCGGTGCTCCCTTTTCCTGGGGGCCAGCTTGATGAGAGTGCCAAGTTGGTTAGAAGCAGTAGCAATGTAGATCATTATCTTACTGACGTTGACCTGGGTCTTTCCCCAAAGCAACTCTGCATTAGGCTCCCATGACCCAATGTGCTCTCCATCTTCTTCATATGCAACCATGCGTCTTGACTTCTCAACGAGAAAGATAGCACCCATTTGCCTTGAGTTGGTTCCGGGAGAATAGCAGATGGCAATAGAGACGGCATCGGGCAAGCAGAGCCTAACGACGAACTCTACGAAGCAGTCGGGGTAATGCAGCCTTCCATGAGGGCGCCATGCTGCATGCCACCTATATTGCACCTTGCCATTCGTCTTACTTAACTGCAATTTTGAAGACGTACCCTATCTACTCAACGTGCAATCAACACGCTTTCAAGAAGGTCATTAAAGCGTGCAACATCGTCTCTTTCTCATTCCCCGCTGTTGAAAGTACAAAGCGCGAGATAGCGAACTCCTGTCCGCCTACGCCATGCACCAGACAATATAACTACAAAGAGAGCGGTTATCAATAAACGACGGAAACAGCTGGTTGGCCATGCCTACTCAGTGGTTCAAGGGGTTGGCTCTATTGTGGAAAAGAAAGTGTGCCATGCTTGTCGAGACAGGCCCCACACATTCAACAGCATGTGCACTTCTTATCACGAGGCGAAGGTATTGTCTGCAGTTCAGTTCACTTGCCAAATTATTGTCATGGAAGTCAATTAGGTCTACTTTAGGGGCTGGATTTGGTGGTACCGAGGAACATCTTAGCGGGATAAGTTGACAACAAAACGGGCAACACAACATGACAACCACCAATTGCAGCTCCGATTCTCATGTGCGGGGAAGACGCGGTGACTGCCCGATACTAAGTAGTGAGAGAACACATTGTCGTGATGAGTGGGTGGGCCCCTGCGATAAGGGCACGTCGGACGCTCCGACGCTCTAAGCTGTCCTTGGCTGAGGCATCAGATAACGGCGTTGTCAGACTCCACCAGTGCGGGGTTTGGGTGACTCCAGCAAACAGGCTGCTGGAGGGTATCTTGGAGCGCCGCGGTAATAACCGGAGTCTGGACACCATGATGTCACGATACTGGTCATCAAAGAGGGTTGACCTAGACGACTTACAAGGCACCCTCCTATGATAGATCTATCTGCCAGACAACCCCTTTCATCCCCATCCCCCATCCCCAGGTCCGAAAGGGCAACATGTATTGCCTGGTCAAACGACCTGAAGTCTGGCCAGGCCTGTCGATATGGTACAAAATTCAGCAATAGTATATACCATATCTTACTATGTAGTCGGATAATCCTCATATTTCTCTACGATCTTGCTGAAAATGGCTTTAATCTTCCTCGCCGTGATAAACTTGATCCCCAGAGTATCAAACAACTCGATCGAGAGGCGCAAGTCGTCGGTTGCCCTTGTCTCTTCCAGAACCTTGCAGAGGTCATCTGGCTGTGCAGTAACAGAGTAGACAAGAGAAATGGTAGAAGTATATAAAGCGAGAAAGTTCAGCCAGTTGAATGCAAATCTGCCTTGCTGGTGCATACTAGAGGCATGCCGGATCGACAAGGATGCTGCCTCTGCGAGCGTTTTAATCCGAGTCTGATCGAGAGTAGGGAACAGGGGTGTTGGCCGATAGAGCATGGCAAGATGGGTATAGTAGTTGAAATCGTACCAGGTGCTCGTCAGATGTGGCACCTGGGCGTCGACCTTGGGCAGAGGGAACGGCATATCTCGACGCCATTGGATCAGTTCCTTGTGGAGAGACCGAATGATCTCTTCTCGCTCAGCAAGTGTCAACCGAGGCGTGTCCGGGTTGGAGTAGACTCGTCTGTTGATCTTGCTGGAGATCCTCCGCAGGGCCAGGATATGAAGAGGAATGGCCATGATTGAAGGGTTGAGACATGTCTGTGGCCGGATCCCATCGGGCTTTATATTTTCATCATCAACTGGCGCGAAAGGCTGTTGTTTTCTCAGCGCAAAGTCAAACAAGTGCACTTAGGGGATGCGCCTCTGATCTATCACATACCAGTATATCGATATCGTCGTCGTGGACTGCAAACGGTCGACCGAGGGCGGTTGATACCACGCTATAGTGCCCCAGAGTTGAGAATCTTCTCACTTGAAAACTCACAATTTCAGACTCACCGATCCATCATATAGAGGGAGAAAAACACTCGCTTGCGTTTCTCAATCACGTCGAAGGGCAGTCCCTCGCAGGATGAGGACGACTGGAGGCCCATGCCGAGGGCGATCCGGGCAGCCATTCCTACGAGAAACCAGGTATCTTTCTTGTCAGCCACTCTGCGTTAGTGCATAGGGGTACTAGCTTACTCGGCCCCAGTTGGTTAAAAAAGGAGTAGGACACTTGTAAAATAATGACTTCCAAAGCAGCCTAAACAAAGCGTGAGTAGGATGTAGACCTAGGAAGTGTAGCAGAACTGACCATATCCCCGAGTCCAAGAGCTGGCTCGAAATACGTAAGAGCTTTGTTGTAGTATAGCATCGACTCGGACTCATCAGCCAGAGATATGGAGCAGTATGCTGTTGAACCAATAGCCAGCACCATCCATATCCTGAACAAGCACAGCGGCGACTGGGCCCAAGACGATTGCGGCTCCTCACGGACGCAGCGAAGCGTCGACAGAACCTCGGCACGATCAACAACAGGGTAGAGAGTGTGCGAGTGAGCAAAGTAAAAGTCGATGAGGCTATTGATGTGTGACTGGTCTGTTGGAATACTCAGGTTGGACAACTGATGATCTGGCTCTGTGATATCGTTGAAGACAAAGTCGTTGACCCACGCTGGATCACATGGCATGGATATTCCCAAATTGTCAAACATGGGCGAATTCAAGAGGTCCGACGGCGAGCCAATATTAAGGTGTGCCAACATGCCTTGATCTCCATCGTTGCCAAAAACGAAATCAGCTCTGTCCGGTGTCAGCCTCCGGAGCACTGTCTGGGTGAGCTTTGCGAAGGAGAGGCCAGAAGAAGAGCCGAGATGTCTCTCGGCGGTGGCTTCTAGTGAAAGGTGTTTTAGTTCTCCGTCCAACGTCTGTGGAGGACTAGGAAGGGCCGGGAGTATGGCGTCTTCCGATGGCATCGCCAGACCACCCCATTCACCATCTTGGGCCTGTAGAGGCAGATCTTGCACGCAGTCCTGCCCAGGGGCAGCTGCGGCATCACTGTCGGTGGGGACCGCGCTTGGGGTCACTTGGACGGTTATTGCAGCGTGTGTCACGGCACTCGCCGACGAAGGTTCACCTGCCCCCACCAGAGGCGATGTGCGTTGAAGGGAGGAGAGATTCTTCTCCAGGTCCTGGACTCGATTCTCAAGTTCGCGCACATAGCTGCAGACACCCAGGGTCAGTCGGCATACCAGCGTATGATTGCACGTCACTCCTTACGCTATAGGATACGAGGCAGTATTCCGATCATCGTTCAAGAAGCTGCAGGCGATAAAGGCTCGCCGACAGTTCTCGCATTGTGGTAAGCCCCGATCGCACCTCTTCTTCCTCTTATGGCATCGAGAGCACGACGTTTTTGCCTGGCCTGTGGCGCTTTGCGGCGGCATCTTGCTGTGATGGCACCGCGACAGGGGAGATGGGGTAGCCAGAAGAGGGGTTGTTGGAGTTCCAGGTGAGTGAGCCGGATAAAGACTGTAGATAGGCTAGATGTTGGATGCCAGGGTTGAGGTAACCCTGATAACTTATCTCGGCGGTTTTGCTTTTTCCCCGCATTCTCGCCTCTTCCGGCTAAGCTCGGACCAAGCCCCAGATCTCGACATCTCGATATCAGCTTCTGTTACTCGACCCTCACAGCCTAGATGTATTATAACTAGATTATCCCATACAAGCTTGGTCTACTTGCTTCTAGCACCAAGGCCCCTCTAGGGTGCTTCTTCCACTAGGTACCCTTCCCTTAGGCAGCTTTGGCAGGAATGTCGACATGGCTCTGCTCCGGTGGCTGAACTGGCGGCAACCATGAACTTACTGCCGAGGACGGTGTGGTGAATTGATGGCAACATATAGATAAATGCCAGGTCGGAGTCATTCTTCGATTGATCGTTTGGTGAAGAGGCTCATGGGCCTACTCCCCAAGCGAGATTGTTCTAGTTAGGGGCACTGTGCCGCTAATAAACAGGGGCGGCGGCTTCTACATTCAGGGCGGGCTGGGCCGGGAGGCCGGACATCGGAGATAAACAATCAGACCCGTCATGTACCAACGGGCGGAAGAGATTGTTACCGTATATCCGGGGCCAAAGGCTCCACTGACGAGTCGTCTTTTCCGCCCCGAAAGAAAGCGGACAAGGCCATATCACAAAGAACACGGGAAGCGTCAAGACTCTACAAAGCCATCCCCATTACTGTACTCGAGCAACGCCCAGACCTCGCCTCGATTAACTAGACCTTGGGAACTCTAAACCTCAACTACGGCGACAGCTTTAACCTCCACAATCAGCCGCGGATCCGGCAAATCCTTCACCCCGATGGTGGCCCGGGCTGGTGCGCTGGCTCGAGAAGCAAACACCTTGTTCCATTCCTCATTCATACCTGCGTAGTGATTCTCCATGTCCAAGATATAGACCATAGCGTCAATGACATTGTGGATGCCTCCCTTGCCTTCTGTAGCTCCCTTGATAATGTCGTCGATGTTCTTGAGGACGGCAGCCGTCTGCTTGCGAATGTCCAGGGTGCGTGTTCCGTCGGCGTTCTCCGTCACTCCCTCCCAGGTACCATCCGGTCGGCGGCACGCCATCCCAGAAATGTAAAGAGTCCGGTGGTTTGAGGCTGGTGCAATGCGTGCGTGAGGATATCGTGTAGGGCCCTCGGGGGTGTCGGGGTCAAGGAGAAATGCTTGTCCGTTTGGTGACATGTTGGGCTGAAGGAAATGCAAGGTGCTCGTGGCGGAGGGGAAAGGTGCAGTACGGTCTTGACCAGGCGTTGGTACTTTTATTGAGATTTGATATCCTGAAGGATGGGAATGAGAAATAAACTTGCTTTACCCTTTAGTTCCAATGATTATATCCAATTCGAGGCCCATTGTTTGCAACAAGCAGCAACCGAGGATGTATCGGACTCTCCGACTCATTCACAGAAGGCATATCAGCACAAAACATGCATAAGTAAACTTCGACCGAACCGTTGCTGATTCCCCAAGACGTGCTATGGAGCTCCTGTTCTGCCAGGTCGCATCAATTCCTAGCTAGTGCTACTTGAACTCTATACTAACGTCGGAGCCTGTCTAGGCTACTGTGGTCTTTTCGTGCTTTTCCTGCTACTCAGGGCAATATTTAGATTAAGTGCAGTCACTGTAGGGTAGGGCTACATAGCCAGGCACAAACCCCAATCTGAGATCGGACGTTCCGACAGAGATAAACCCGAGTGCAATAAATGGTGATCCAGGTCAAGATGTTCGAGGCAACAACGACACAGTAGAGTATCCAAGCACCATGTCTGCCCAACTAGAGACTCAGATTCAATACTTTGAGATCAAAGACTTTGCTTTTGAGGACGGGACTCGGCTGGCTTCTACCCAGCTTGCCTACCTTGACCTGAATCCGGAGGCTCACAAAACGGCCCTAATCATCACTTGTTTTCGTGGACGGCTGCAATCAACACTCAACTTCTCCAACGGTGCCTTACAGAGCCATCGGATCATTGTCGTGGCCCTGTTTGGAAATGGAGAGTCGTCAAGCCCATCCAACACGCGGGGATTTCCAGGATCCGTCGACTATCGTGACTGCGTGCGCGCTCAGCGAGATTTGCTGCGCCATCTCGGCATCCAGTTTCTTGATGTTGTATTGGGATTCTCCATGGGTGGGCAATGCACGTACTACTGGACCATGATGCACCCAGAGTTCCTTGCAAACGCCATAGTTATATGTTCCTCTGCGAGAACCAGTCGGCACAATCACCAATTCTTGGAGGGTCCAAAAGCAGCTCTCATGAACTCGTGTGACTATGCGGACAAGACCCGTTCACCAAATTCGCCACCGCTTCGAGGACTTGGCGCCTTTGGGAAAGCCTACTCGGCCTGGCTGACAAGCGCCGAGTGGTTCGAGCACGAGGAATACAAATCTATGGGCTACGAGACACAGGAGGCCTGGGATTCGAGTATGGCTGTCACTAGCTACTATTCCTGGGGGCCCGATGACCTTCTCGCCCAGCTGAGCATGTGGCAAAGGGGTGATATTACTGTCCTGAGCGGCTCTAGTTCACTCCAGGCGGCTCTGGCTCAGATCAAGGCACGCGTGCTGCTTATGCCTTGCCATACGGACCAATATTTCCGTTGGGAGGCTAGTCAAAAAGAGTCGAGTTGGATCCAGGACGCGACACTGAACGTGATACCTTCAATCTGGGGGCATCTAGCGGGAATCGGAATCAATCCAGTTGATAGGGAATGGATGGATAAGGCGATAGACGAATTCTTGAAAGGTTGATTCACCATGGATCTTGAGAAGAGAACTAAATGGGACTAGGCCTGTCTTGATGGCCAACCTAAGAGTAAGATCAACACAAGCTTCCACCTCCACCCATGGTGTTTAGAGTACAAGAAACAGCAAATAAATCACACCAACTTTAAGTCACGGCCCCACTCAAACAATGCCGCTGCCGTAATCACTTGCTCATCATTCCAGCGTCGTCCAATAATTTGCATGCCGATGGGCAGTCGGATCCCCGGATGGTCTTGAGGGCTGGAAAACCCGCAAGGTACGCTCAGCGAGGGATGCCCTGTTACGTTAAACGGGCACGTGTTACTCGTCAAGCCGATGGCTATGGACAGTTTCTCCAGGATGCGTGATCCCCCTTCTCCATCCATAGACAGGTCGGGATGGGGCATTGCGACACTTGGTGCACACGGGGCTACTAGGACGTCGACGTCTTCCAACGCCCGATCGTAGGCGGCCCGAAGCTCAAAGACCTTTCGATGAGCCTTTGCCTCCAACCCTGGTTCAAGGTCAGTCTCTGCAAGTTGCCCGCTGAGGATGATGTTAACGACGGCTGGGTTGGATGAGGTCAGCAACTGGTATGTATCCTGGGTAGGAGGCCATCTGGGCTTGATATGAGGTGGCAGGTGAGTAAGGTGGCCGGACGTCTTTCCCTTGCACATCCATTCAGACATGGACGGTCTTGTCGATGCTGTCCAGATCACTGGGCCATCAAGGTGCATGGGTACTGATACGTCCACGACAGTTGCACCGGCAGCTCGGAAGTAGAGGCTGGCGGCTTCAAGGACTGTATCGCGAACTGCGGGGGAAACACCAGGCATAAGAAAGGATTCGCTCAACAGACCGACTCGTAGCGAAGGAGAGTCTCTAGGGACTGCAGCCAGCTTCGCTCGGAAATCTGTCAAGATCTGAGAGTATCTCTTGACCTGATGACGCAGAGGTGATTCGGGTGTCATCCGAGGATCCAAGCCATCATATCCGGCCATAACCTCAAGCAACGCGGCAATGTCGTCGAGACTAGATGCGAGAGGTCCTAGATGATCGATCATTGGCGACATGGACGTCGCGCCAGTGTATGGCACCAAGCCAAACGTAGGCTTTAGGCCGTAGATGCCGTTGAAGGACGCAGGTATACGGACTGATCCAGCCTGGTCACTTCCTATTGCTATCTGCGCCGTGCTGCCCCAGCTTCCGTCTCGGCCACAGGCCAAGGCGTGTGCAGCAACAAGAGCGCTAGACCCACTGCTACTACCACCAGCGGTATACCCATGGAGGAGGGGGTTGTGGACGGGGCCAGTTGCTGAGGTGAATGACAGGGGAGATGCACAGAAGCTCTCGCAAGTAGACGTCCCTTTGATTTCAGCGCCGGCCCTGAGGATTCTAGAGACCACTGTAGAGTCTATTTCCGAGACTGGATACGTTCCATCATCAGAAAACAAGGAGGAAAAGGTCCCGAGCGTCGTTGGCAGCCCACCAACTGAGATGTTGTCCTTGACAGCAACAGTCAGGCCGTCAAGAAGTCGGCCATCTGGCTGTGCTGAGACGAGGCTGCATCGGTGACTCCAAGCATTAAAGGGGTTCTCCTCGGCCCTTGGTTTCCAGAACTGACGGCTCCCCAAGACGGGCTGAGCCTTGAGAGCAGGGTGAGTGTAATCCGGCATCTGTCCAACCTGCTTCATGACTTCTTCGAAGGACTGTAAAAGTAGCAAGTAATCTTTGGCATCTTGGCCATGGTCGAGTCGGATGCTAAGCCTTCTGGCAAGCTCTTCTATCTTGTCTCGGGTGATATCCGAGTCACTGGCTTCAATCGTTAGCCCAGTTACGTGAGGGAGAGGGAGAGGAACAAGGGGGAGAGCCAAAACTCGGTGTAAGACCCGAGACATAAGGTCCCTGATCGATAATTGTATTTAGTTAGTTCTTAAAGCTAAAGAACAACTCACAGGGATGTGTCTACAAGTGATACAATAGACATGTTGAACGGTTTGAAAGGTTGAAATATAATGACAGAGAAATGCTCCAGTTATATTCTAGCTATACTCTATAGTCATAGGTACAAGCTACTTTGACCTGGATAATAGTAATGGTCTCCCAATCATAGCCTGCAGGGGGCCATTGATAAGACTGGCAGGGCGTCGGAAGCGCCGATACGCCAGGCAAGGAGGGCCCGACCTGCTAAGCCATAACCAGAAGCCTTTCTCCACTAGATTGTAGGAAGCATGCGTGTGGTAAACAAACATGTCACCTGTAATGTATCGGAGGCTACTTGACTCTCATTGTATATACCTCTACCTCAATGATAGTGCCAGTACCTGATACCAAACCGAGGTCTACTTTTGACCATTAGCCAGCAGAATGCGTCCCCCATCGACACACAGCGAAACTCCATCAACATATGACTGTAAACAGTTAACATCACGTCCTATGTTCTGTCTCGGCGTTGCAAGGACCTACCCCAGCTCGGCTGGCGAGATAGAGCACCGCGCCAGCAATATCCTCTTCATTCCCTGCCCGTTTTGCGGGGACCTGGTCAAACAATGCGCTGAACATGTTTCCTTCTTGTCCGACAGGGTTCATGTTGCTCGGAACGACTGGGTCAGATTAGCAAGGGTCAGTTTTACAGGCATGATATCCGTCGAAAGGTTGGTTGGACGCACATCCTGGGTTGATTCCCGTGACTCGTACATAGAACCTGCTGAACTTTGCTGCCAGCAGCCTGACTAGATGGTCAGTGGCTGCTTTGCTGGTGGCGTAGCTCGTCAGGTCTACATTTGTAGCGTTGTGCATGCTGGCACAGGAACTCGTCATGATAATGACACCGCGGCCTTGGCTTCTTCCGAGCTGGTTGTTGCCTAGGTAGAGTTGCGATGCAGCAGAGAGCAACGGCATTAGAGCTACGGAGAGAAAGTAATGCGCTGTGGTGTTGACAGAAAACGTGTCGGCCCAGTCTGTGTCTACCGACGACCACATGGACGCCTGTAACTCCGAAAGAGGCGCTGTCAGCACATCACACTGGACCGGGGGGTCTCTTCGGATACCGGCATTCGAGACGAGAATGTCGAGGTGGCTCTCCCGATGGTTAATGTAGTCTGCAAGCTCTTGGATATTACGCTTGGACGACACGTCGCATGGTACGCTAAAGATGGATAAGCCGGATGTTGGTATTTATATCCCAACGAGTAACTTGCCCGAATGCAACTCCTCCCGAGGATTGACCAAGTTCGTTAAGCTCGGCCACCTTTTCTTGGATAGGCTCCGAGGGGAGGGCCACCACATAGAGTCTGGCCCCATTCACCACGAGACCCTACCATCACCAGTAAGCTTCTGTAGAATTGAAACAAGTGCTGTACGTTTCGGAACGCACCTTGCTGATCATAAAACCCAGTCCACTGGTGGCCCCTGTGACAATTGCGACATGGCCTTTGACGCTAAAGAGTTGTGCGATGTTGAGTGAGGCCATTGCTTTTTGACAGGTGGCTTAATTATATAAAAAGTGCAGATGAAATGGTTGGCGAAAAGTCGCATCTAGGGGTGGGCGGTCTTGGGGTTTATATGTGAGCTGTCGAGATTTTCTGTCGGGGGGACCGATGATTCAACTGAGACATTTGCCACGGCTCTACAGAGTCTAAAGATATCCTACTCCAAGGTTCTTATTCGAAGTCATTTTTATCTCGGTCTCTAGTGGAGTCTACCCCGGACACAAAGGCCCTTCCCAAGCCTTGTCAAGCCGTTTCTCGCATAGTCAGCCATGATCCATCCGAGATCCATCCGTGCTTGCTCCTCACTCCTCGTATCCTCCTTACTCCTTGTAGTGCTCCTTTGTCCTTTCTTCAGCCGCACTTAGGCATTCGGCCGTCATGGCTGTGTCCCTTGGAATGAGCTTCACCTTGAACTCCCGGGGGATAGCCACCAACGCTGTCTTGAACTGGTTGTACTCGACGTAATCGGTGTTAGGTGGCATCTCCTCGCTGGCGACAATCTTGTATGAAGACAGGAGCCGGACAAGAGCCGCATACAAGAGGCGAGATGCAATGTATTGGCCTGAGCAGGCCCGAGAGCCAGTTCCAAAGCTCAGGTGAGCGAGCCCGACGCTCTCTGCCTCGGTAGGCGGATCCAGGTTCTTCAACCATCTTTCAGGGTTGAACTTGCCACCGTCGGGCCCGAAATGATCAACATCTAAGGTACTAAGTCAGCTTCACTTGTTGTAACTCTATAAAATGTCCAGGTGAATTTACCATGGTTACCAGCCTGCGCATTGATGAGAATCATGGTCTTGGGAGGGATGCTTGCTCCATTCCAGTTCACTTCGGTGACTGTCTTGCGAGGGAGACTCATGGAGCTGACGGTGTAGTATCGACCAGCTTCCTTGACGATGGCATTGACGTATGGGATCTTTTCCTCCACGTAGCAGCTGGTCCAGGCATCCCGTACGTCGGGGTAGTGGCGCTTGATGTCCTCATAAGCCCGGCCCTGCCAGAGTTGACCCTCTTTTGTCGAAAGCGAACTGAGGCAGGAAGTTAGAGTCCCCGGAATAGTCTCGAATCCACCAGAAACTAACGAGAGGCAGATGGATGAGACCTCAACACCCGTCAACTTGGTCTCCTGATCCTTCAGGATGGCGGCCGAGATGCAGGGCTTGTCCGTCCCTTTCTTGATCATGTCGCGGACCTTGTCAAGGAGTAGGTTCAAATAGGCGTCACGCCGTTCTCGGAGCTCTTTGGACCGAGAATTCTTTTCGTTGTTGGGCAAGTATCGTAGAATGGGGACGTAGTCTTGCAGGTTCTCGGAAGCACTCCTCAGCAGTGAGATGGCTGATCCCACGTGCAGGATCTCGCGGAGCAAATCGTCATAGACGGCGTCCATTCGGATGCCGTAGCAGAGGGTTAGGGTGGTGTTGAGGGCGTACCGCTGGATATAAGGCCGGACGTCGATCTCAATCTCGCCATTTCTCGAGTCCTTTTCCATATCCCTCAGGATGCAGTAGCTCTCGAGGTCAAACATTGGATAGTAGTTCCTCAGAGCGGGTCTTCCCAATGCGGTGCCAGCTGCCTTGCGCTTCTTCCTGCAAGAGTCGTCCCAAGGAGAGGACCCGATGGTGAAGCCTTGAGTGCTGCTGATGACGCCATGGAAGGTGTAGAGTTTGGGACGGTCAATGACGGCATTTTGGTTGCCGAGAAGCATCTTTTTGCAGTCCTCAAATGAGTTAACCACCACAGCCCTAGTATTTCCAAGCTTGATCTGGAAAACAGAGTGGTTGTACTGACGCCACCACTTCTCGCATGTACTAGCGTGATCTTCGCCAAGCTGGAGAAGATGTCCCAGCACCGGAACGGCACCAGGAATCTCCGGTAGGCCCTTGATATGAGGTATGTCGGTGGCATACAAGAACTGCAGAAGATTAGGGCTGGCTCCAACCATCGGGATAGTGACAGAGAAAACGTACATGGTAAAACACATAGGTCACCAGGGCCACGGCGACCGCCGTCAGCATTGGCCCGGCGTACTCATGGTCCCTAAGCTGGGCCCATCGATAGCCCAGAAGCTCTGGGCGCAGGTCAAACTTGACATCCATGAGGGGCTAGGAACTTGGCGATATCACTGCTCGATAAACATGTGTGTGCAACAGTCGATATCGATAGATATAGGTGATCAAAGCGACAAGGTAGCGTTCAAGTCATATTACAGATAGGCTTCTTATCTTCAAATGACGGCCCCAGGGACAATCCCGCTTCCCCGCGATGTGGCGGAACTTTAGCGTCGGACCCTCCGACGAGGGCCCCCATGATAAACAGTGCCACTTTATACGAGATAAAGCTATCAGTCATATCACTGTCGGCCAGATCGACGAATGTCAGAATATCAAATAAGAGTGCAAAGGGGATCCTCGGTTGGAAACCAAACCATCAACAAGAGCCGCGACTGTAACTTGGTGCTCCTGTTCCTTGATTCTTTGGCTGATACTGGAGGCCATCTCTAGCGTAGGGATGCTTTGAAGCACTTCTGTCTCTTGGACTTGTCAGACTTGTGGCCAGTGGAGTTGCAAGATCACAGACGACAAGTCTCTGACTGCAATAAGGACTTAACGCTCTGTCGCTAATTCTTACAGTGTTTCAGATAGTGATTTAGCAGTGGAAGCGTGGCTGAGGGACAATCACGTTGAACCTAGCCACACTGATTAGTGACATCGCGTCATGGCAGCAGCTGTCACCACTGCATTTCACGGTTTTAGAACAGTCATATTTCAGGATGCTTCTGATCCTCAACACAAGCCTGACCGATCTAATGATTTCCTAATGTTCTATATATGCTAATGGTAACTAAAGGAAATATTTACTACAGTAGATAGCGTCGACTTCAATTGACATCGTTGACCTAGTGCTTGCGGAACGCACATTCCAGTTGGACTACCTAAGACCAAAACGATGCAAGGCTGGTACGTGAAGCTCTATTGTGCAATATTATTATCGCTATTTCTATGTCCCTGTTAGCTTGGACTGGGCAAATCCCTGGAATCACGGTCGTTGATTTGCAACGTGGTTAGACTTATTACAAGGAATAGGCCCCTATCGCCTGCATTATTATACGCCCTGCCCCTGTATCTGCGAATCTCAGTAAGTAAGCTGCCTAGTAATAGCCTATAAATATTATAATTCTAGATACTTACTAATATGCCTCGCTCGGCCTTATACTTTATTATAAATAAGTAATAATCTTAATTAATATATAATTAAATAATTAAATATAAAACTCTTAGTTATATTATTATTATATATATTTCTTTTATAGAGTTATAACTTAGGGCTTTTAAATTAAATAGATATATAAGAAATGAATAGCTAAAGATATTATATAATAAAAAATATTTTTTTTTAATTATAATTTTAAAAATTAATACTATAATAATTAAGGGCTTTAATAAATTTATAAATTAAAAATTTAATAATTAATTTATATAAAATTTTATAAAATTTATATAAATTAAAATAAAAGTTTTTTAATTAAATTTAAATTAATATTTTTTTAAAAAAATATAAAAAATTTAATTAATATATAAAAATTATTATATAAAAAATATTAATTAATTTTATTTATTAAGAAATATTTATTTATATAATAATAAATAATTTTTTTTATAATTATTAATAAAATAATAATTTTTAAATAAATATATATTAATTTTTAAATTATTTAATATAAATTAAAATAAATTATAAAAATTTTTTTAATTAATATATTATATTTAAATAAAAAATAATATTTTTATTTAAATTATAATAATTATAAATATATAAATTTTTTTAATTTTTTAAATATATATAAATATTTAATAATATTTTAATATTATTAAAAAGATTTTTATTAAAAATATTAGGTTTTTTATTAATTTAAATTATATTAAAAAAAAATTAAAAAAAAAATTAATATTTTTTTTATATATATATTTATTTATTTAAATAATTTTATATATTTTTTTAATAAATTTTTAATTA